TCTCTTGAAGGATTTGTTATATTGATTTCATCATGCTTGAATTGTGATTTAAATGGAATAGAGTTGAAATACACAGTAAAGTTTGATTGTAATGCTCTTTTAGACTTTAAAGATGATAAAGGGATAAATCAATTAATGAAATTGAATGATAATTTTGCTCATGTGTACATCATTGGAAAGATACAGCAAAGTATAGTGGCAAGAAGAGATTCAATTGAAGGGTAAGTTTTTTTAATAGTTACATGATTAATATTATGCTAATATAAATGTGAATGGTAGTAATAAACATGATTTGAATGGAAATGTAGAGCAGGATGTTTAGCTGGAATTCATATGCTACACTAGATCTTGAAGTTCTACTATGTGCGATACAAAGTATCCCAAAACCAATGCCTAAGCTAAATGCAACAAAGTGGAAGGATTTGCTAGTAGGACCGGGCAGATTTTTACGAGTACTGATGATTATAGACAAGTAATCTACAAGTATAATATTGTACTATGCATGTTATCTTCGTAGCTCATAGGAAAAAATATACAATGGCACCATGCATCATGTTGAGACCCATGAGATGTCAAAGCTAAATGCATTGACAATATCTAAGCTCATAAACCAAACCTTTTTGCTACCTCCTAGAACATCTCGATCAGCTGGCAGACCTCATAGTGTGAGGATTAAGTTTCAATATCAGCAAAAAAAAGGTTTATCATTGTTCTCATTGTCATGAAGCAGGTCGTACACAGAAGAGGTGTAAAAATCCAAATCCAAGTTGATGTTATCGTAAATGGGTTACCACATGAACTTGAATTTAGGTGATATACATATATGGATAGTTTTAGATCAATCTAGATTTAGTTAACATATATAGGTTTTTGTACATATATATTGATAGTATTAGGGGATTTTTTTGGTACATAGCAACCCCTCTTTTATAAATCTAAGTTCATGCTTTTGTGTATGTGGACAACTGATATGTGCAGATGCATTAGATGAATTAATACATGTAGCTTATATGTACAGTTCATATATTCTATAATCACTAAAAGTGTGTTGTCTTAAAATTTCGAACAGAGGTTACAAATTATTTGTAAGGCAGTTGCAAAATTTGGTATGTCAATTGCAAATTATTGGAGTCATGTTCTAAAATAATTTGGTAGTTTTACAAGTTTAAGAATTCAAAAGTTATTCTACCCAAAATTTTGAGAATGAGTTGCAAATTATTCGTAAGAAAGTTACAAAATTTAGTATGTTAGTTGCAAATTACTGGAGTCATATCTTAAAATAATTTGATAGTTTTGCAAATTTAAGAATTTAAAAGTTTTTCCACCTAAAATTTTGAGAATGAGTTACAAATTATTCATAAGGAAGTTGCAAAATTTAGTATGTTAGTTGCAAATTACTGGAGCCATGTCCTAAAATAATTTGATAGTTTTACAAGTTCAAGAATTCAAAAGTTATTCCACTCAAAATTTTAAAAAAGAGTTGCAAATTATTCGTAACAAAGTTGTAAAATTTGGTATGTCAATTGCAAATTATTGAAGCGTTATCCTAAAATAATTTGATAGCTTTATAAGTTTAAGAATTCAAAAGTTATTCCACCTAAAATTTTGAGAAAGAGTTACAAATTATTTGTAATGAATTTACAAAATTTAGTATGTAAGTTGCAAATTACTAGAGCCATGTCCTAAAATAATTTAGTAGCTTTGCAAGTTCAAGAATTCAAATATTCTTTCACCCAAAATATTTGTATGTGGACAACTGATATGTGCAGATGCATTAGATGAATTAATACATGTAGCTTATATGTACAGTTCATATATTCTATAATCACTAAAAGTGTGTTGTCTTAAAATTTCGAACAGAGGTTACAAATTATTTGTAAGGCAGTTGCAAAATTTGGTATGTCAATTGCAAATTATTGGAGTCATGTTCTAAAATAATTTGGTAGTTTTACAAGTTTAAGAATTCAAAAGTTATTCTACCCAAAATTTTGAGAATGAGTTGCAAATTATTCGTAAGAAAGTTACAAAATTTAGTATGTTAGTTGCAAATTACTGGAGTCATATCTTAAAATAATTTGATAGTTTTGCAAATTTAAGAATTTAAAAGTTTTTCCACCTAAAATTTTGAGAATGAGTTACAAATTATTCATAAGGAAGTTGCAAAATTTAGTATGTTAGTTGCAAATTACTGGAGCCATGTCCTAAAATAATTTGATAGTTTTACAAGTTCAAGAATTCAAAAGTTATTCCACTCAAAATTTTAAAAAAGAGTTGCAAATTATTCGTAACAAAGTTGTAAAATTTGGTATGTCAATTGCAAATTATTGAAGCGTTATCCTAAAATAATTTGATAGCTTTATAAGTTTAAGAATTCAAAAGTTATTCCACCTAAAATTTTGAGAAAGAGTTACAAATTATTTGTAATGAATTTACAAAATTTAGTATGTAAGTTGCAAATTACTAGAGCCATGTCCTAAAATAATTTAGTAGCTTTGCAAGTTCAAGAATTCAAATATTCTTTCACCCAAAATTTTAAGAAGGAGTTGCAAATTATTTGTAAGAAAGTTGTAAAATCTGGTGTTTCAATTGCAAATTACTGGAGCATTGTCCTACAATAATAACTTTAAGAATTTAATAGTTCTTCCACCCAAAATTTTGACAAGCAGTGGCAAATTTGTCTCAAAATAGTTGCAAAACTGGGTACCTAAGTTTCTTGACAACTTGCTTGATTAGGTATAATGTATACTTGAACATTACAAATACGTTTCAACATTAGAAGTTGATAATAAAATTGTAAAAACAAATTACAGAGTTACAAAGTTGCAAACTTGATTAATTGGGTACAATGTATAACTTCGAACTTAAAATTCATTTAAGCATATCCTCACTTGTACAAACTACATAGTCCTCCTTCAGCTAAGACACTTAAGGAAACAAATTGAAAAAGAAGCAATTTCTGTATAATCGAAATGGTGAATGTTGATGAGAATCAGACACTTCAGCTAGGCAAATGCATCACACCCATCAAAGATTAATGACCTAAGCAACTGATCACTCAGAGTAGAGAAGAGATGTCAAACAGGACTAGAATAGAGATGATAGACAGCTTTACTGGACAGCTTAGGGAAGAGACGACAGAGAGCTTTACTCGCTTGCAATGAGACAGGGAAGAGACGACGAACAGGGCGAAGAGTAGAGAAGGAACAACCTCAAATTTTCAACAGCCAAATAAGGGTATTTCGGTAATTTCTCATTATATTAAAATGTTACTCAAGGATCTAGAGACTTAACTGACCTTTCAGAATGTTTTGAGATTTATTTTGAATAAAATTAATCCTTTAAAACTTAATTGTTATTTTCTCAATTTTAAAATGCTAACATGATCGAAGTCTCAAACCATCCTAGAAGTATCTAATTATAATATCTAAGTGCTAAATTTTTCACCCTCAGCAAAATCTCCCCCTCACCTACCTACAGGCCACGCGCGTAAAATTTGTGAACGCTACAGTGTGTGTTGTTTGGTGCATTTGGGTACGCTGAATTTAATGCCCACAACGCAATCCTTTTTTTTTTTAACCTATATATATATATATATATATATATATATATTCCAATTAGGCAATTACTCCCCTTTCTCCTCATCTTATAAATAAATGCATATATTCATCATTTTTATTTATATATACTTAAGGTTGAAATTAAATCTTTAAAATTTATCTTATTTTGGGGTAACTTTTGTTTTTTTTAAAAATTATATTATTTATTTCTTAATTTATGATCCTCAATACATGTTTAATAATTTTCTACGCCTCAAAACTTTTTCTTCTGTCTCCAAATTGCCTTTATTTAATTTAATATTACCTAGTGATTAAAATCTAAGATGTTACAACAATCATGATACATTTTATCAAAACAGTTTTGCCCCCTTTGATAATAATACAGCATTGAGCAGCCAAAAATAGATGAATTACGGTGAACTTACATATCCATGAAGGTGAAATTATTGGAACAGAGGGAAAGAAAGAGATTGAGGGGGTTAGAATCGTCATTTTCAATTGCGCCGTTACTCTATCCATTATCCCAGCTATGAAGGGAGAAAGAAAAAATTAGCAGAGCAATGCAAAGGGAGAAAGTAATTAATGAAATTTGAGATAAATGAAAGAAATGAGGGGAGAATACTTTGACCGAGAGAGAGATGAGAGTGACGATTTGCATTCTTCCAAATCACTCCCAATACTCTCCAGGTTTTTCTTTCTTTTACACTTTGTTAAGAACTAAGGCTGTATTAAAAACTTTCAGCCTAGTCCAACTTAATTCAATTCAAGATAATCCTGTCATGTCCGGTCCATATAAATATTGATCATTTAAGATTAAAAAGATTAGATTATTTCTTCAGGTTGAACTAGATAAAAGATTGGACATCCAGACCACTTAGTCTAATCCAATTTTATTAATTTATTTAATATAATTATAATTAATTTATTTTTTATAGATGCTTCAAATGTAATTAACATTAAGAAAATGAATGTATACATAAAAATTTATTAAGTTTATTTTTAAATTATTATTGTAATGTAGTGTTGTTGAATGTTGTTTTTATTAAAATTATAAATTTAAATTATTTATACTTTAATTAAAATATTTTTTTATTGTTAAAAATTATTATAAATTTATTATAATTATAAATATTTTTATTATTTTAATTAAGCTTATTAGATCGAAATGTATTATTATCTCTTATAAAAAAATAATTAAGTAAATATCAAATTAATAAAATAAATATTTCAATATAATTAAATTTAATTTTATTAATCTTTAGGTTACCACTTAACAACACAAAGTGTGGACCTAACTCAATTCTTGTGACCTTTCTCTCACCTTCCCGTCACACGCTCACACGTTATCCCAGCACTCACTCTTATTCTCTCTCACATCAGCACACGCTTCACTCTTTTTCTCTCTCTTTAGCTTTAGTTTCCTCTGTTACACACACTCAAATGAGACACGCATATTGGTAGATTAGGAATGGCGGGGACAATGATATCTAGATTTGTTTCACCGCCTTACACTATTAAATATTAATTTTTTAGATTTTTTTTTCCTTCTTCACCGCCTTTAATATGCTTGGGATGAGAGAAATGATTTGTTCAGAGAATAATAAAGGAATCTGGAGAGAACGAGCAGGTGAAGTTTCTTTGTTTTGCATCGTATGCAATGGAGAAACTTGTTTCAAACTGGTGCCGTGTGCGACCTGTGCCGGAGGATTACGTGTTTCCACCAGAAACAAGACCAGGGATCGTCCATGTGCCTATAAGTGAAAGCTTCCCAGTGATTGACCTCAACGAAGCAGAGAAAGGTGATCCAACGCTTATTATGCAGAAAATTCTCAAGGCAGCTCAAGAGTTTGGATTCTTCCAGGTTCATGCCATTAACTTCTGTTTTTTTAGGTTTCGGGTTTGGTGAAAGAATAAGATGTTTAAAAGCTTGATCAATTGTAGCAATAATGTGTGATAATTGAAAGTATAGGTGATCAATCATGGGATTCCGGAGAATCTAATGAATGAAACAATAAGTGTGTTGAAGGAGTTCTTCCAGATGCCAGCAGAGACCAAGCAGCACTTGTGGTCAGAGGGTTTTAGCATGAAGGATTGCAGGCTCATTACGAGCTCTGTAACTTATGCTACAGAGAAGGTTCATCTATGGAGGGACTGTCTCAAGCACCCATGTCATCCTTTAGAGAAGTGGCAGCATATATGGCCTCAAATCCCAGCGAGATACCAGTAATATAATGGATGCTACACTCTAAACTCTAAATGCTTTTATGTCTACTTTTTTATTTGTTTCTTTACTTATTGGCTTTAGTCTGATTTGTATCAGAGAGTGTATTGGGGTGTGTTCAGTGGAAATAAAGAAGTTGGCTTCCAGGATCTTGAAGTTTATCAGTGAAGGACTTGGGCTGGATGGTGAATACCTTGAGGGTGAATATAGCCAATCTATGATACTATCGGCTAATCATTATCCGCCATGCCCCCAGCCAGATTTGACTCTAGGATTATCCAAGCATGCTGATCCTTATATCATAACTCTTTTACTCCAAGATGACGTCTATGGACTTCAAGTGTTGAAGGATGATACTTGGCTTGGTGTCCGTCCTAATCCACATGCAATTGTGGTCAATATAGGCTCTCAGTTGCAGGTATTCATGGTACACTCTTGATTGCATAGTCCCTGACTTTTCATTCAGAGTAGAAATTAAACAACTTGTTTCATTGTTCATTTGATTGCAAATGATAATGTTGAATGAGGGTGCAGGTGATCAGTAACAATAAGCTGAAAAGTGCAGAGCACAGAGCTGTGACGAATTCAGGAGAAGCTCGAACTTCAGTTGTATTTTTCATAGGAGCTTTGGAGGAGAGTATTATAGAGCCCGCAAAAGAGCTGGTTGATGAACTCCATCCTCCAATTTACAAGCCCTTCAAGAACAAAGATTTTCTCTATAAATTCTACGCAAGTAACGGTGACTCCCAAGGCACGCTAGAAAATTTCAAGGCATGACTTCAAAGGATCAGAATATTTATGTCGTCTGTTCCTTTTTGTGTTCTGGGCTGCATTTTATTATTATTTACTTGTAACTTCCTTAGTGTTTAATTATATTCCCCTTCAATGTATTATATATGCGCGCATGAAGCAATCGAAACTAGAAGAAAAACTCCATTGTCAATTGTACTTGTTAAGAGAACACCAAATTGGCAAAAAAAAAAAAAAAAAAAAACCATCAAAACCAAACCGGACAGATTTAGTGAGTACGGCGGCACAAACAGGTCCACAACAGCTACCAACAAAACCAACTAAAATGGTGAGTTAAAGAGGGTGGTTTTGTGAGGATGTATTCCAATCATTTCTCTGCGTTGGATTAATGAGAAGGTGTGGGAAAATTCACTCTCCGGCGACAATATGATGACTGTCCAAAGCCCAGACAGAAATATACTTATTTATGTATTGGGACGCTCTGAATAAAATAATTCTTACATACGTGGATTAATTGATTACGCTTACAGTTATTGTATATTTTATTGTAAGATGGTTTTACTTTAAAGACCAGCATGCTCTGTCAATGTTACCTGAAGGCCCCAAATAATAACCTCAAATTCATACTTGGCACTTCTTCAATTACTGCTTTCTACATGTTGAAATTTGCGGTATCCTTTAAAGTGTTGAATGAGTGAGAATCAGCAATGAGATGATAATTGTAACACCCTAATCATACTAACAAAAAAACGTAATCAATTATCATGATAATAAAAAGATTTAAACCAAAAAAACATAATTTTACCATGGTACTAAAGTTTAAAATCAGTTCTGAAATTTATTTTTTTCTTAAAGGTAACTATAATAGAAAAGAGTTAATTTTTTTTTTTTACCAGAGAAAGGAAATAAATTCCAAAATAGAGTCAAAGCTCAATACATAGTAAAACGAAAAAACATGAAGTCATAAGCCAACATCAAAGGCAAAGACCAAACTAAAAGCTTAAAGAAAAGATAAAATCAGCTAATTCCTTCTCGATCTTTGGAACTCAATGGTTGCGTAAAATCCTGAGCTACACCATTTGAGTTATAAGCTAAGATATCCAAAAGAGGGAGTGAAGAGCAAAGAACCCAACCTGAAGGCTCCACTCCCTTTAGTGAAGAGACTGCTAGCCAATCAGTAGCAGAATTTCCTTCTCTTTTGACAAAGGAGAAAGAAAAAGCTGGGAACAAGCGGATAATGTCAAAGAATTCCTCAAGTGGGCTGTGGTGAGACCAATGACTATAAGAAAGATCTAAAGAGGAAAGCACACGGCACCAATCTAAACAATCTAGTTCAGAAACGGCTTTAGTGATATGGGAATCTATAGCAACTTGGACAGCTTTTCTAAGTGCAAAAAATTCTGCCATAAGGCTAGAAGAGGCAGTAACAGGTTCTTGCCAACCCTTAATAAATTTGCCCAGGTGATCACGCCATAAAATTCCTATTGCAGCCTTTTTTGAGACAGCAGAGTATGCACCATCACAATTAAATTTGAATTTACCTACAGATGGTGGTTTCCACTGTGTGGGTAGATTAGAAACAGGTGAACAAGAGTCTTTTTCTCCATGAATCTTCCAGAATTCATTCACAGAAGCATTTGTTAGGCTAATAACGTGAATAGGATTAATTTCAGAAGCCGAAAAAACCTTGGCAAACCTGGTTTTCCATATATTCCAGCATATGCAAGCAATGTAAGCCTTACCAAAACCATCTAGGGGATTGTTGTCTAACAAAAAGAAACATCCCCACCCTTCAAAGGAAGTAATCTTTTGAGGATCAATGATGATGGAAAGCAGACAGCCAAACCAAGCCTTTTTTGCCCAATCACAAAAGAGCAACAGATGGGATAGCTCAGGTCTGGAGAGCATTTACGGGCATGAAGAGCCTCCTTTGTTGCAAGGGCCCTATGAAAAGCCCTCCACATAAAGTGTTTGACTTTAGGAAAAATCTTGAGTTTCCAAATATCATTCCAGATTCCTTGGGGGAGAGGGCTTGAGGTTGTCGCATCAGGGATACTCACAGGGTGGTCTCTTGCATAGTTCAGTCTGTATCCTAGCTTTGAGGTATAATTTCCCTTCTTAGCACCATGCCAAATAGTTGTATCAGCTGAGATATTACGAGGAATCAAAATATTCTCGAAACAAGATGTAGTTTCAGGAGTCATTGCATGTGATACAGTAGATAAATCCTATGTACCATCAGAAATAAGATCAGACACTTTAAGATTTATATCGATGTTGACATTCTCTTGTTTGACAACTTTGAAATCAGCCATGCCAATAACATGAGGATCTTTCTACACTAGGATATTTTGCCCTGACCCAACAAGTCAGCTACTCCATGCCCAGGAAGCGTGAGATCCACGTTCAGCATGTAAAAGGAGATAGAGGGAAAATAGATAGATTTTAAGTACCTTGGCCCAAAGATGACCAGGGTTGCTTAATACCCTCCAGGCTGTTTTGGCAAGCAGCGCATCATTGAAGTTCATAAAGTCTCTAAATCCAAGGCTTCCCTCCTTCTTTGGAGCACATAGCTTGCTCCAAGATCGCCAATGAATGTTATTCTTAGTATCATTATGCCCCCAAAAGAAATTTGCCATTAGACTATCAAGTTCAGAGCAAGTACGCTTAGGGAATTTAAAACTCGTCATAAGGAAAATAGGAACCACATTAACCACTGGCTTAATCAAAACTTCTTTCCCAACAAAAGTTAGCAATTTGCTTTTCCAACCGTGTATTTTCTTCCCCACTTTATCTAGGACATGGGCTAAGGCAGCAATTTTGGATCTGCCCCACAAAATAGGCAAACCAAGATACACTCCCGGGTTGTCAACAGTACTAACTCCAAGGAAAGAATAGACTTCTTCTTTCACATGAAAGGGGTATTCACAGGGGGAAAAAAACAGAGAGAGAGAGAGAGGGAAGATTTGTCAAAGTTCACTCTTTGACCTGAAGCATTGCAATATGAATCAAGAATTTCTTTTATGGCACTACAATTACTTCGGCTAGCATTCAGAAAGAGCATGGTGTCATCAGCAAAAAGATAATGAGTAAGCATAGGGCATTCTTCAGTCAAAGAAATGCCTTGAACAACCCCATTATTTGCATGAGCACTTAGCGTGAAAGACAAAACCTTACTTGCAATTATGAAGAGGTACGGGGAGAGAGGATCTCCTTGACGTACTCTCAGGAACAATGCTGGCCACGGTTCTACAAGAGATCAAAACATTAAACATGGATCACTTAACACACTTCATGATCCATCCAACCCAAGTATTGCAAAAGCCGATTTTCTTTAAGACAGCCTCTGTCAAATCCCATCCAAGGCAGTCAAATGCTTTATTCATATCCATTTTGAATGCAAATTCATAGTTAGTACCAGATTTCTTAAGTTTGAGATAATGAAAAATCACTAAATTATAGTCATATCAAAAATTCAACTTTATTTCCTCATCAACCCATCCCCAATGTATAATGCATATGCATCATTTACATATATAAAAGCATACTTAAAAATGAAATATCTCAATTGATGAACTTAAATTACAAGTATGTTTGAAAGAACTAAACTACTCTTAAATAATATAAAATTTTCAATAATTAAAAATTATTAACCTACATTTATAAGCATACTTAAAAAGAAAAAACATCAACAGTAATGTATATAATTAAGTTACAAACATGCTTGACATGATTCAAGTAATTTATAATAGTTTAACAAATAAATTTATAGTTATACATATTCGATATCATAGAGTTTGTATATATATAAAAAAATCTTAAATTACCTGTACTCCTTTAACTCACAAATAACTACACATCAATTCAGACAATAAGAATTTTCAGTGAGAGTCTTTAGCCATAGACATGCAAAAGTATTAATATAAAATCTAAAGTTACTGAAAATTACCCTAAACGAACACTAAAGTCACCCTAAAGCTACCGCATAGACCCCAAATTTCTCTTTCAACTCTATGTCGTCATACATAAACTAGTTTCTCTACATTCAAAAGTCTAATAAATATTTTTTATGGTTGGAAAGTATTGATTTTAAGTTTCCATTTATCTTAAGTCTTTACTCCAAGAGACCTCAAGTCTTATAAATAATTTAAATATAGAGATTAAATTTTCTAAAAACTCAAGATAGACCTATATATATATATATTTTCAGAGTAACTCACTATTAGCAAAAGATCCAAAAATTCCAATTATGTCACTCTCTAAATTTTTTTACCATCAAGGTTCTAAAAACTAAGGGGATAAACAGGTAAAATAAAATTTTAAAAATACTTACATCATCTCAGTCTAAAACCATCCTGGAAGTATCTAATTATAATATCTAAGTTAGGGCTGAGCAAGTAACCCGCTACCCGCTCGACCCGCTTGTACCCGTTAAAAATGAGCGGGTAAAAACCCGCCCATTTAACAAAAAAACGGGCGGGCTGAAATTACGGGCTAGCCCGTTAATAAGATATGCGGGCGGGACGGGCTACGGGTTAGCCACCGGGCAACCCGTTCCATCCCGTAATAATTAAAAAAAATTTGCAAATTATTTTTTATTAAAATACTGGAAGAGTGAACAGTGAAACAGGACGCTGGCACACGCTGCGTTTTGCCTTCTGCGGTTTTTCAAATACCATTTCCTGCTTGCTGAAATTAAAACCCTCGGACTCGGTCCCTCTCCCTCGCAATCGCAAATCATCGCACGCAGACGGCAGACCAGGCAGCCGCAGCTTCACTCAGACAGCCAGACTCGTAAACGCAGAGCGGCAGAGGGCAATCGGGCAGACTCATAGACATAGTCGCATACCTCCACAGCTCTAATCGCGCATTCTCACAGTCGTAGAGCAAACTTGTCTTCTGGAGTGTTTCCAAGGATTCTGGGCCACGAGGCTATGGGGTAAGCTTCTGAGAATTCCTTCCGAAGGATTCTTCTTTCTCGCAGACGGCAGACCAGGCAGCTGCAGCTTCACTCAGATAGCCAAACTCGTAAACGCAGAGCGGCAGAGGGCACTCGGGCAGACTCATAGACATAGTCGCATACCTCCACAGCTCCAATCTCGCATTCTCAGTCGTAGAGGAAACTTGTCTTCTGGAGTGTTTCCAAGGATTCTGGGCCACAAGGCTGTGGGGTAAGCTTTTGAGAATTCCTTTCGAAGGATTCTTCTTTCTCACAGTCGCTACCGTGCTTTTTAGAAACATCTTCCAAGTATGATTAATCACTAATCTATATTAATTACTTGTAATTTCTTTCTTATATGATATTTGTGTATGATATAATTAATCTTGCTCAGTCGCTTAGTCACAATATCTTGCTGCCTCGCTGGCTTGCTCACTCCCTGATTCAATCTTGTGCGTGTCTTCCTGCCAAGCTAAGACCAAGTAAGTTATTAACATTATAGTGATGATTATTTGACTCAGCGACTCTGCCTTTGCTCTTAGTTGTGAATTAGTTTAACTGAATTGGATATGCCACCAATAGATTTCATTAACAGAGTTTAGAGGTGACAAACAAATCCTTCTTTTCCAATTTCCAGTATTGCTTGCGTGTCCAACCTGTTGTAGTTAATTAATTTCTTGAACGCCATATTCCCAAGCAGTGTCGATGTGCCTGTAAGTCTGTAACCAGCTTGCAAAGAAGCACCAGATTCCATGAGAATCCCACAAAAGAATGGATGCATAAGTTAATTAACTTACTTTTGAATATATTGAACTATTTCATAATGTAAAGATCTCCACATTGGTGGGAACATGTATAAATACATTGCTTGACTGAAATTATGCTTGAAAATTAAAATTATGTGATTTTTTTTGTATTATGAAATTATGTGGCTGCTTGATTGGAATAATTGTACCTTCCTAATTTTTTAGAATTTAAAAGGATGAGCAACACTCAAACCCTTAAAGCAAATGTGGAAGAAGGTGATATTGAAACTAAGGCTACTGCGACATCACACAGTCCCACTACTCGAGTAGAGAATGCCACAAATAATGAGGGACAAAAACAAGCACCGGCTAGGAAAAGGAAGAAGCAAAGATCTGAAGCTTGGAAGCATTTTACGAGGATGTCACTTGAGCAAACTAAAGGGAAGCACCGTGCCAAATACAACTATTGTGGCATGGATTATGCAAGTCATCCTTCGAACCATGGGACTAAAGCACTTTGGCGGCATTTTGAAAAGTGCCCAAAGAATCCAAACAAAGCCAACAAGATGACACAATCTTTATTCTCTGTTACTTGTAGCCAAACAATGTCTACACAATTGTTCAATCAAGAGAGGTGCAGGAAGGATCTTGCTAAATTTATTGTAAAAGATGAGATGCCTTTTCGAGTTGTGGAAGGGGAGGGTTTTAAAGAACTATTGCACGGACTTGAGCCTAGATTTCAAATCCCTTCACGATGGACAGTTGCTAGGGATTGTTACAAGTTGTATCTTGAAGAAGCAAGACATCTAAAGAAATATTTTAAGAAATTTAAAGTTCGTGTGTCCCTTACCACAGATTGTTGGACTTCAATCCAAAATGCCAACTACATGTGTTTGACTGCTCACTGGGTTGATGAGAATTGGACATTACAAAAGCGGATTTTGAATTTTTTTGTAATTGAAAACCACAAAGGAGATACCATCGGGAAGGAAATTGAGGGATGTTTATTTAGTTGGGGTATTGACAAAGTATTTACAATTACAGTTGACAATGCTTCTTCCAATGACACTGCAATTGCATATTTAAAAAAACGTTTGAGGGAATGGAATGGCCTTATATGTGATGGAGAGTATATGCATATGCGGTGTGCTGCTCATATTTTGAATTTGATTGTCTCTGAAGGATTGAAAGAGATGAATAAGTCCATTGAACTCATTCGGCATGCGATAAAATTTGTTAGATCTTCTCCGGCTAGGCTACGTAGATTCAAGGAGCTCATGGGAAAGCAAAGAATTGATTCAAAAAGTCTACTTAGTATGGATTGTCCCACTAGGTAATTTTAATTATTGTTATGAATTGTTAATTTATATTTATTTTTCTAATATTAATCGAGCTTTTTTATGTTGTTAGGTGGAATTCAACATATCTGATGTTGGAAAATGCTGTGAAGTTCATTAAAGTTTTTGATCGGATGGAAGAAGAAGATGAAGATTACAATGAATACTTTAAAAAGAAAGTTGAAGAAGAACCTCCTAGTCCATATGATTGGGGTGTTGCAAAAGAGTTTATAGTCTTTTTGAAGCTATTTTACTCCATGACATTGAAGTTTTCTGCATCAAATTTTGTGACATCTAACACATGTTTCCAGCAAATAGTTGCAATGCAAACTAAGCTTAAGACAAGTGCAACTAATTCTAATGCTCTATTGGGTGACATGGTGAGAAGAATGCAAAGTAAGTTGGATAAATACTGGGGTAAGGCAGATAGCATGAATCCATTGTTGGTGATAGCAGTGATACTAGACCCTAGATACAAATTTAAATATGTCCAAGTTGCTTTGGAAAATATGTATTCTGAGCCTATACAACGTGAGCTGGTTACAAAAAATATCATGGATGTCTTGTATAGCTTATATGGTGAATATTCAAAGGATGTCTTTGATAGTGAAGCTTCTCAATCTCAAGCAAGAGCAGAACACGGTGATGACAATGTTGGGGAGAATCAAGATTCAATTCCCGATGATGATGTTTTGGCGGTCATGGATGATGAAACAATGAGACAATTCTATACAATTGCAAGCATTGAACGCCAAGAGGAAAAAAATTCGGAGGTGGATGAATATCTTCACGCTGAGTTAGTTGCTTCTCGTGATCCAAAATTTGATGTTTTAGCTTGGTGGAAAGTAAATGCTTTCAAGTATAAGGTCTTGAGTTTGATTGCACGTGATGTGTTAGCTTCACCTGTCTCTACTGTCTCTTCAGAATCTGCTTTTAGTACGGGAGGTCGAGTACTGGATACTTTTAGGAGCTCCCTCTCTGCAAAAATGGTGGAGGCACTCATTTGTGCTCAAAGTTGGCTTTCTCAACCTACTTTCAAATTGAAAGAGCTTGATGTTGATAATTTTGATGAGTCTGACAATCTTATTATTGGTAATTTCATTAACATTTTCACTTTATATTACTTTACATTGTTCAAATATTAATGAATATAATTTTCTTAATTTGTTTTGTAGAGGAAGAATCAGGGGCTCAACGTTCAACCATCTCTAGTGATTCTGAAGATGACGACGACGACGACGACGATCCAATGCAAGATTAAATATGTGATGGATTGTTTTGTTGCCTTGTTGGCTTGTGAGTTGTGACAAGATTATTTGTGTCGGATTATTGCTTTTTGCTTGTGCCTTGTGGCAAGACCATTTGTCAATTTGTATGGTTACTTTGATTTGATTAATGTTGTATTTTTGAAGACTGATGATGCTTGGTGCCTTGGATGACTGTAATATGTAACTGCTAATATTAGAGTTTATTTCCTTTGATGATGGTGATATTTTAACTATTTTTAGGTAGAATTACAAGAATTTTAAAGCATAGAATATTTTTTTATTTTAAAGCAAATTGAGGGCTGTTTGTCCAAAACGGGCTGGCCAGCCCGCCCAGCCCGTTTTTAAACGGGCTGAAACGGGCTGCAAACGGGTACGGGCTGGCCCAGCCCGTTTTGGACAAAACGGGACGGGCTACGGGCAGCCTTACGGGCCAACCCGTCCCGCCTGTTGCACAGCCCTAATCTAAGTGCTAAATTCTCAACCCTCAGCGAAATCTCTCCCTCACCCAAATGCAGGCCACGCGCGTAAAATTTGCAAACGCTGCAGTGCGGGTTGTTTAGTGCATTTAGGCATATTGAATTTAATGTGTTGTGGGCCCTGGCCCATACCCAACCCTTTTTTTTTTTAACCCATAATTGTATTATAAATTTACATGTATATTTCAATCACTCCCCTTTCTCTTCCTCTTATATGTATAAATGTATATATTCATTATTTTTAATTATATATACTTTGGGTTGAAATTAAATCTTAATAATTTATCTTATTTTGGGGTAAACTTTTGTTTTCGTAAAAAAATTATATTACTTATTTATTTCTTAATTTATAATCCTTAATAAATGTTCAATAATTTTTTACGCTTCAAAACTTTTTCTTCTATGCCTCTAAATTACCTTTATTTAATTTATTATTACCTAGTGATTAAAATCTAAGATGTAACAATAGTCATGATACATTTTATTAAAACAGTTTTGCTCCCTTTGATAATAATACAGCATCGAGCAATCAAAAATAGATGAAGTATAGTGAACTTACATATCCATGAAGGTGAAATTATTGGAACAGAAGGAGAGAAAGAGATTCAGAAGGTTAGAATCGTCATTTTTAATTTCGTGCCGTTACTCCATCCATTATCCCTGTTATAAAGAGAGAAAGAAAAGTAGCAGACAATGCAAAGGGAGAAAGCAATTAATGAAATTCGAGAGAAATGAAAGACATGGGGGAAGAATACTTTGACCGAGAGAGAGATGAGAGTGAGGATTTGCATTCTTCCAAATCACTCCCAAAACTCTTCAGGTTTTTCTTTCTTTTACACACTGCTAAACAGTAAAGCAGAACCATGTCGGAAGCCACGGCTTGGCAGCTTGGAGCCGATACCATAACTAAAGCCGGTCACTGTCTACTAAGTTGATGAACAGTAGCATGTGCCTGAAGCATGTGTCATGAATAGCTTGGTTAGAATTGATTTGTTGGTCATATTGATGCTTTACCAAAGCCCCTATTTATACCAGTGGAAGAAGTTGCCTAAAATGCTACCCGTTGCTTAAAGTGCTTGCTCATTTTTAAAGACAGGGAAATATACTGTATTTGTTCTCCAAGTCATTATTGTTATGCATTTCCTTTTCTTCCTTTTTTTCTTGCTCAGAGTAAATTTTTTCTGCATGATGGGCATGGGCTTGTGAGTTTAATGGAGCATGAAAAAAAAAAAAACCGCGACGACCTTTTGCAATTGATGTAAAATCTTCTGGTAGAGAACAAAACTTAGTAAAAACTCAACATGCAGAAAAAAATTAATGGTAGAGTTGTAAAATTCAAAGAACCTAATAGGAAATAGCAACCATTTCTAAAGAACTTAACTATGCTGAATATGGCATCTTTTATTCTGTCCATCCGTCTGTGTTTGCTTTGCTTTTGTCTGAAGTACTCATCAGTCAGGAACTTCCCTCCACCAACATGAGGGAGTCAAAGCAATAATCGCCAAGAGCTTTGAGAGCATCCATCCAAGTAATCTTGTTGGAATGGGAATAAATCCTCTATTGTCTCAAGCCTGGCTCAAGATGCAGAAACTTGGTTGCTTTGCTTGTTTCTCAAAAGAAATGAAATTTTCTATTTGCAGGTTGAGTTGGCATATTTTGATCATGGTGGTTTTCTTTGTTAAAATCACCACTAACTTTTGGTCCAAATTAAATAAATGAATAAAAAAAAAAGAATATAAAGTATTTGGAGTAAGTACTTGGTTAGTCATATATTAGAAAGTGGCGAGTTAGAAAAAAATAATAAAATAAATATAAGAGGGCGCGAAGAATTGAAAGTGACTAAAAGTAGGAAAGAGATTATGAAAAACATTAAAAGTCAAGTTTCATGGAGTAATTGGAGGCTTGGAGCTCATAAAAAATGGAGTTTCGAGGAAACAAGGGTGTAGGAGATAAGATGCTGAAATTAATAAAACAATGAACTTATTTTTATTAATATTTAAAATTATCCCTTCGGTGGTTTCAGCATAAAATAATCAGTCATCAATCAAATACATGCTAAATTCAGATGAAAAGGAAGATTATTACAAGGAGTCAAAAGCTCAAGCAAAATTTTAAATCTACGTCTTCCTCACCGACTGTCCTGTGTTTATTTTCCGGCCTCACTGTCCTTGGCTCCTTGCCCATAAAAATATAAGTATATAAAACAAACAAGTCTAGAAAGAAAAAGGGGAAAAAAGAAAAAAGAAAAAAAGTCTTTTTGAATAAAGAATTATATGTTTTAAACAAATAGAAAAGGAGAAATTTTCAAGTTGAAGATTGGAGGAATCCATTTGATTTTTGAGGCTCGAGGACGGTGTTCCTGGAATTGAAAGTTTCAGTTTCCTGCGTCGAGGAATGAGAATTCTTAGCTTCTGAATCCTACGAAAGCCCGGCAAGGTCTTTGAAAAGAAACGACGCGTTCTTCTTCCTCAACCCGGATCCGATGGTGAAGGGATTGCACGGACAAAACCTACCCGCCGATGTCTCGCAGGTCATTGATCAGTTGGAACGCCACTGCTTGGCTCCCGATGGATCTCTGATTTCCAAGCCACTATACAACGATCTCCAAGTGGTAATTTTCACTCTGTTTTGGACTTGCCCAATTGTTGTTTCTTTGGTGTTTGTGAAAATTCCCGGCAAAATGGGAAAATAGATGCTTCATTTTGGCTTTTAATTTTGAAGTACTTTTGCTGAATTAAAATGCAGCTTGAATGTTGTCCGATATTGATTTTCTGAGTCGTATTGCAGGCGAGAGAGGAAATGTGCAGGGAAAGACTGCGGTACCTGGAAGCAATGGTAAATGATTCATAGATTAATATTGTAGTCCTGAATTGGATCTTTATTTTTAAAATTTCATTATATTTGGATGTTAGAAAAATGATTGGGGACAACTATTTGCTCTTTGCATCGCTAGTCTTGAAGTTGGTATCTAAATATGGTGTAATAATTAGTTCACTGATACGTATTCATGTGGTGGGTTGGCTGCAGGCAATTTATTCTGAGGCCATTGCGATGGTGGAGGAGTATCAGCAAGCCATTTCTGTGGTTAATCTTGGGGGAGTTAGAGATACATCGGGTCTATATCCACAACTTGGACTGAAGAATTCCCCTCAGGTCTTGTATACTGATAATATAAACTTGACATAAATGAAACTAGTTTTCGTTTATCCCAGGAAAAAAATGGGGTTCTTTACAGGATCACAATTATCTTTTTTTTATAGGAATTGCATGATACATGATTCTTTTCGTTTCCATCATAATTTCAAAAGTCTTACTCTGTCTTTTTACAATGCATCAGTTTTGAGTTCAATAGTTGGCAACTTCTATGAGACTGAATATGGTCAATAGGTGGTAACATAGCACTTGTATACATTGGCTGCGGTCTTTATATGGCAGGACGTATCAGCTAGTGAGGATAATGCTCCCCCTTTTTACTTCACTTAATACTTACATGGTGGAAGATGAACATAGATCCTTAGGTTTTCCTCAAAAAATAAAATAAAAACCTGTTGCATTGTTGTATAGGCTTCTAAGCTTTTTTCTCTGCTTAAAACCTGGTTGGATGGGGTTTAACAATGCAATGGGAATGTTAGTTCTGCTTCTTCAACAGATGTTTCAGGTTCTGACACTTGGATTGAATAAGGCACTACTTTGCTGGTAGTTGAACTGTTGTGAGTTGTTTGATGACACAGTAACCTATTTTGTTATTTTAGTGGATGACTGGTTGCTTGTAAGTGAGTTACAAGCTGACCAAGGGCTATGAATGTTTAAGAAGGAAATACTGATGAAGAGAAGTTATAGTCCAAAAAGTCATTGCTTGAACAACAGAATCAAGTTGATCATATGACGCTGATTTTTGGTTGCTGGTCAACTATATGTAAATGTCTATGGATTTTCAGGTTTATGAGACTTTAGAGCATCGAATGGTTGTGGCTGAAGCAGCTCAAAGACTGAGACTTCCTCTTCTCTCCAAAGATGGTGAAATTCATAAGGAAGACATTGAAAAGTTGAGTGTTGCATCTCGAAGCTCACTTGACAGTACTAGTACCACTGGCTCAAGCATTAATCCTAATCTTACCACTGCAAATAGCTCTGTTGGCAGTGCTAATACTGCTCTTGCTGCTACGGATCCAGGAGAACTTGGAGTTGGTGGTGTCCCCATCCGTTTTCTTGGGATTACACCTTCTTATTTGTGGCAAACTCAGCTTCAACAAACACCGTTATCTGTGGTATACTATAAATCAGAATATGTATTAGGTTTCAAGTACACTCTTAGGTTTACTTTGAACTGACTAGCTTGGTCATGTCTTCAAATGCTGAAGCATTGGGAATTTTGTGTTTTTAGGATATGACAGAATATCGCATGTCTCTCTCCCGTGAGGTGGAGGCTCGCTTGAAGGTGAAATGTGATAAGATAGCGGATGCCTTCGAATTGGATGACATTGGTAAGTTTTCTATATGCTTCACTTTATTTCTCATGTTTAACTTTCCTTGCCCAGGACATATTTCATTTATTGGATGCTACTGATCTTAAAAACATGGTGATACATGTACCTTGTATATATCATTTATTTTTTAATGATCCTCGAACTGATTCTTGATTTTATAATGCAGATTCTTCACCATCAGGAAGTCAAAGTACAAGGCTTCCAGAAAGGTTTGAGCAAAATCCCTGGAACCTCATCATCTTGATTGTTTAATTTTTTTCCTGTTACTTGCAACATGTTCTCTTAGTCAAATGAATATTACTTTTGTTGAATTATGCAGCACAGGGCCTCTACTTGAGAAGTGCTTGATTAAAGGCATTACACTGCACACATTTCATTCTTAGGTGCAGAAATGTTGACTAGATGATCTAATTTATGGCCCCGAAAAGTCATTTTTATATGTTGGGAAAAGTTGCCTGATGATGTTAGTTCTATTTTCATATAGATATGAAAAGTTTTTATGATGGAAAGCTGACCATAGTAACTGACCTGACTAATAATAAATAGGCATATTTGCTTTTAACGTTGATGAACTGAATAATTTGGATTCAGTTCTGCTGGTTTCTTTAGCTGTGTAAGATGGAGGATTTATCTATATATAACCTGCATTTTATCTGCCTTCTAGGTGATATCCTAGCTCATATTTTTCATTGCTTATGTGAATACTTGAGTTAATGAGCATCTTCTTTTTGATACAAAGTAAACAGTGCAGCATTAATTCAGCCCGTGTTTCAATAGCTCTCTGTAAGTTCTGTGTTGGACCTATCCATAGACTACAATTTCTCACTCTTCATATCTGCTCCTTTACCAGGGTGAAGTTGTTGATTGAGGAGATTGAAAGAGAAGAAGCAGAACTACGGGACGACCTTTATTCTGCAGATAGAAAATTCGCTGAATATTATAATGTACGTCCTTGGTCATATTGTAGAACCCTCTTTCTTGTGGACACAGAAACACATTTTCTGAAATCACATGTTAATCTGTGTGAGTACGGGGTGGCCGGTGGGTTGGGGAGGGGGATGCGTTCCATTTGCATTTCTTTTTTGGGGTGACAAATTCAAAGTGGTATGGGGATACTGAACCCGTTATTCTAAATCAGGTCTTGGAGCAGATACTTGGAGTTCTTATTAAACTAGTTAAAGATCTGAAGTTGCAGCATCAACACAAATATGTGAGTATCATCAATACATTAATATAGAATAAAAAATCTATAAGAAACTACATTATTCTTAAGTCTTGAATAAATTGAGTTGACCTATGACTCCATGCGAAGCACATGGTTCCCAGTCTTGTTTTATATAAATTATCTACTTTGATAGCCAACAATATATTGACTAATTTCAATGTATTTTTAGGATGAACTACAGAAGACATGGCTTTGTAAGAGGTGTGAGACCATGAGTGCAAAATTGAGGTTTGTTTATTGTATGCTACTTTCTTCATTTCTTTATTCTATATTTTTCATAGGTGTAGTTTTTACCTTTTTGACCACAAAAAAGGGACATGAAATACACAAGGTCGATAGAAAACATTGCTTATCCTAAAGGGTTAAAGATGAGAGAAAATAGACATTGAAATATCAAATATTTATTATTCAGCATTTTGAAAATGTATAAATTTCCCCTCCCCTCCCTTCCCATTCCCTCAAACCAAACGCTGCCTAAGACTGGCCCCTTTTGCAAAGAACACAGAATGATTTTGTGTAAAAATTAGTATTGCTTCCAAATTTAAATCATTTGGTTGTAGTTTTGCGCTGTTGCATATATTACTTTACTACGGATTTTAGCAAAGTATTTACTTAGCACCTGAAGGATATTATGATTTAATCTACTTTCAAGGGAATATGTTGAATTTTATAGTGGTACATCTCATTGCTGGGCAAATTAGCCGAGAAGATATTATGTTAAGTGGGCCAACAATCAAACGTTAATTAATTAAATATTATTATTAAACCAATATAAAACATTTTGATAATTTTTCTTGTAATTCTAATAATCATCGTCCCATACATTTTATCACCTTGGTTAAATGAAGAATTTAGGAAACTTATGTGTTAGAATATGGATTTCATATTTTATCCCCATTAAAACATTGCTGGGATCAATGATGTTTGATGATCAAAATCACGATTAAAGTAAAGGCTATGTATTACCATCGGTGTATTGAATTGTAAGAGTTTAGTGGAGATAATCTGGAAAGACTTGAGGGTAGTGAATGGAACGGAACAAATATATAGCTTCTAGACCCAATCCTTGAAATTTAATTCTAAATAGTGTTCTAAGTTCAATCTTTTATTTTTTTAAGAATGTTTTTAGCAGCAATTTTATCCCGAAGTTCTGTTTTCTGATGTATGAGATATATGTCATTTCATGTCAGGGTTCTTGAACATGTTCTTCTGCTTGAAACTTACACTCAGGATTCTATACCTGCCCTTCATAAGATAAGGTATTAAAGATAATTATACCTTTTTAAGTTTATAACTTGTACTTGGTTTAATATTAATCATGCTTTCTCTTGATGATTCTAGAAATTATCTTGTTGAGGCTACAGAAGAAGCTTCTATTGCATATAATAAAGCGGTATGTTCCTATTTCCTTGAGCCTTTTTTGGCACGAATATTATGTCACTGTTATATACTTTGAATCATTGGATTCCATGAAGAAGGTTGGCATAATCTGCTTGTCCAATGACCAAGACATGATCTACATTTTGTGCTAGCCTCAAATATTCTTGCACAACGTGGATTTGTTTTCATCTGATGTGGAGTTTATGATTATCAATGTTATGATGACGTTCTAAGTTATATTTGAACCCTTTTTACCAGGTTACTCGTCTACGTGAGTACCAAGGTGTCGATCCTCACTTTGACAACATTGCAAGGCAATACCACGATATTGTGAAGGTAAATACTTGTTTAACTATGACATTTTTCTTTTTCAACTGTTGTTACAAGGGAGGCTTCAGTAGTCTAAACTGAGAAGTGGGGGGAAAATAAGAATAGAAATCGAATGCTTGAAAACTGAAGTTGGTGTTATATGGTAAGAGCTGTAAGTTCCTTTGCAAGTATAATATGTATATTGAGGAAAAATTAATAATTTAGTCCTATAATTTTGATTCGGTTGTAATTCAGTTCTTTAATTTTGATTCATTATAATTCAGTTCATTAATTTTAACTCAGTATAACTCAATTTCTATAGTTTTAACCATTTAAAATATTTGTTCTTATATTTTAAAAATAAAATTATGGGATAAGGAAACTTCTGGTCCTCCAAATTTATTTTAACTATCAATTCGGTTCATTAAGTTTAATTTTTATCAATTTGATTCCTTATATTTTCTTAAATTATCATGTAAGTCCTTTATGTTTTAAAACATTAATTGACTCTCAAAATAGTTTAATGTGTAAAGAGTATTGATGATTTGGCATGTATGTATTGTTAAATGAGAATAAATTAGCCCTCAAATGTGTTTAATTTTTATCAATATAATCTTTTATAATGTGTTTTGTTCTCTTGTTTTTTAAAATTTTAGAGTATTTTTTTCTTACCTTAACAATTATACTTTTTTTTTATTAATCTATATATCTACTATCAATATTCTGTTCTCTAAGTTAGTAAATTTTAACCATGCAATCTCTTTTTAAACAATAAGGATCAAATAGATAATCGAAGTAAACTTAAAGAATTAAATTGATAACAATTTGAATTTGAAGGACCAAATTAATAACTAAGATAAAATTGAAGGACTAAAAGTTGTATTATTCCTAAAATTATAAAGACTAAAGTTATTTTGAAATTTAGAGACTAATGTTTTAAACTACGAAAACTATAGGGATGGAGTTCTAATGGGTTAGAGTTCAAATTTATAGGAACCAAAATTATAGAAACCAAATAATTAATTTTTCTTCAAATATATTCTCTGTCTCACCAAACCCATAACACAAACGCGCACACTCTTTACGTCATGCCTGTGATTACCATAATGGTCAATTCTGTGATTAATCATCGTCTTAGAGACTGGTGCTGTGAGAATTTTACACTGATGATTCGTTTGCAGAAATTGGAGAATATGAAATGGACAATTCAGCAAGTGGAAATGGATCTGAAACGCTTGCCAGATAACCCAAGCACTTAGAATAGAATATATGGTACTGTTTAGTTTTGTATTAATATTTCCCCCCACTTGCTAACAAGGTGTGTAAATGAACATGATGAGGCTTTTTTTTTTCTTTTTTTTTTATTTTCATCTAACCCAATTTTGGTTAGAAAAATGTTGATTAAAGAGCCTACCTTTGAGCTTTTTAATGAGATTTCAACTTTTATAGGGCTATTTTTAAGAGAGAAAAAAAAAATGTACCGATGTCTTCTCCAATGGTCAGTACCAATATTAGGTGAAGAAAAAGGTATCAATGCATATTAAATGTTGTTTTTAATAAATCTTTTGATAAAATAAAATGGCTTGTTGTCAAGTCATAAACAAGCCTTTCATCTTACAGTGAGAAAAAGTATTGATAAAGCTATAAAATTCAGCTGATAGGGATGGGGTATAAATTGATTAAAGCAAAACAAAGCCAAATTAAATTATTAAGATTGATTTGGTTCTATTTTCTGAAAAAGCAATTGAATCTTCTGCATTAAAACATTAATCGAAATAAAACTAAACCAGGAAAAAAAAAGGTGAAAATTGATAGACCTTGTTAATTAAGAATGCCCTGAGTGGACACAAAATTTACTTTGCATCAATCCATTATGTGAAAGTATTACGTGGGAATAAACAGTTCTATTTAAATGGATTGAGGCAGGTGCTGAAGGATTCAATGGGGAAGAAAATTTATTTGCAATCTACAAGTTGAAAAAACTAAGTACATAAGTAGTACATCGAGCAGTGTTTTTGAAAAAAAAAAAAAGTAAAAGATGTATCTAGAACAATAATGGAATAGATATATTTGTTATTTAAAAAAAACTATTTTTTCTTACACTAAATTACTCGATTAGCCATCATACCAGATAATAACAAGGCGATACTCAATGACATTATCTGATGATAGTAGCACAACTTGATCATATAATCCTATAACATATGATTTGTGCAATCTTCAATTAAAAGACAACCACATATTCTGCGTGTTGATTGCGAAATTAATCGATTTTTTGAGGCAAGATCATGGTTTCAATGAAAAATTGCCAAACACCCCAAATTATTGTTAATCGATTATTCAAGGGTAAACCACATTTTCTTATAAGCTAGAGCTGACAGCTTCTCTCAATTAATTTTGATGTTAGAATATTAATTGCTTGTTAGAATATTTTACTTGCCAATATTATCCCTTGTTTATGCTATGTATTTTCTCAATTTCATATTATATACTCCTTTTATTCAAAAGTATAAAATATTTTTAATCTTTTAAGGTGTAATTATTATCTTTTTTTTTCAATAGCGCTCTGTTGCTCACCGCAGGTGCATGGTTGAAGCAAGTAATATAATAAAAGTAAAGTATCGTTTTCTCGAGGATTTGTTCAAAAACAATGATCAAATAAAAAATTAAGTATATTCAATCAAGTTGAGCAACACAAAGTTAGGTAAAAATGATTTTACAAACTAAACTAATGCTAAAAAAATAAAGAAAAGTAATTAATTCACAAACTTCAAATACAAATTGAGACTTGAGATTATTTATCTCCCTTATATTTCATAACATAAAAAGTACCACCTCTCATAAATGCTTTTAATGAAAATAAGTGTTAACATAGGGTTCTAAAAATATTTGGACAAGCTCTCTCAAATCATGAACAAGTGTTTAGTTAAATTAATTGCTCAATCTTTTGTTATAATTAATAAAACTCAATTTTAAACACCAACCCTAATGTGGTTATACAAGGCTAGTAAGTATTTCTTTATCTTATTAGCAAAACCATCCATTCAACATGTAAATATCAAGTTCGTGTACTATTTTATCCAAATTATACACTCAATCTAGCCCTCTCAAGCATCAATTAAGTGAACCAAATATCTAAATGGTGGCCAATCATTTAGAAGCATTAAGGAAAGAGTAAAATAAACACATATGTATCATTAATCACAAAAAGAGAGGAGGAACATAATTTTAATCCAAAGGTTCAAAATAATTTTAGAGTGAAGAATTTAACTACTCATAAACATCAAAAGGCTACAAATAAACAAGATATTAATAGCCATTACAAGATTACAAGAAGAGAAATGGAGAAGAAACAAAAAAAAAAGAAAAAATGAAGCTTCAAATCTCTTCAAAACTTTAACTCTTAGACCCAACTCATCCAAAGCTCAAACCCTTGCACAACAAAGCTCTCAAAGTGTCTTCAAGTGTGTAGAATGACTTCTGAGTTGAGCTCTCTAAATATAAGTGTCCTACCAACCAGTTTCAAACTTAATAAAACGCAGTGTTTTTCTAATAGTGACAAAAGTTGTGAACGAAAGTCATGAATTTGGGATGACTTTGGCAGTTGTACACTGTTTTTGCAGCTAATGAAAATTATTCACTTTATACTTGATTTATTCATCCAAAAGCGCTCCAAAAACCTCCATAAAAGCTCCAAAATACTTCTAATCAAATTTTTAGCCAAAATAATGAAAAATTAGGCCAAATATATCAAATCAAAGTTAAGAATACAAATCCAAAACAAAATACATATTTCCCTAATTTAGACAATAAAAATATATACAATTGAGCCAAAATAGATCAGAATTTAAGGAAAATGTGATGAAATAATATGAAATTTTAGAAGTTAACACGCTAATATTAAATAAATTATTTTATATTTATTTTAAGGTAAAGCATCATATTAAATAGGGCTACATATGAAAAGATAGAGTTAATTTAAAAATAAGTCAAAAAAATTTAATTACAAATGCCTTATATTTTTAAACAAAGGGAGGACAACTTTAATAATATTATATACAACTTTAACAATAATTTAATTTTTAAAAGTAATGTCCTTTATGGTAATTTGTACAGCTAAAATTAATTTTGATTAAATTATTCAAACATTTTTAATTCTATTAAAACTAATTTTAAAAAAATATTCAAACAATTATAATATAATCAATTATAATTAAAATTAATTATATTAATTAATTATTTTTATAATCAACTATATCCAATTGAAATTTAAATAGGTTCATACTAAAGGAAAAACTACTCGGATGATGATTTCAAATAAGAATATAAAATTATATATAAAGGATAAAAAATTTTATTGATAAAGTTTAAAATTAAAAAATTAAATTAATAATTGAAATAAATTCAAACTACTAGTAAAATTTTTACTTTTTATTAAAAATAATAATAATTAGGGCTGTACATGGGCAGGGTCAGGTAGGGCAGCCCATTAACCCGATGCCCTGCCCTAAATGTCTTTGGGCAAAAAAACTATGCCCAAAGCCCGACCCTACCCGAAAGATGCTCGACTTTGGAGGGGCCGGGCGGGCAGGGTCGGGCAGGGTCTCCAACCTTGCCCTACCAAAATAAAAAATCAGAACCATCCACACAAATTTGAAATACACTGTAGCAAATTAATTATTTTCATCAATAAATCACTTCAAGCTCTTATTTTAAAAGTAATAGATTGTTAAATATCACTAGCAAAAATATTATGGTATCATCAAAAAACTTAATGGCAAAGCAAATATGGAAGGAATTTTTCATGCAAGTTACAAGTGCTGTCCAATTTCAAATTCTAAGGAATATAAAAATATTTAACCTAAGGTTTACAAACTTGATCATCAAGGCATCTAAAAAAAAGAACTACCATTTATGTCCCCATCAAGTTAACAAATTACATCCTATATTATTATTTTTATAAAAAAATATATTATATCTCGGGCCGGGCAGGGTCAATTGGTTGGATACCCCAGCTCTAAACCCTGCCCAACTCGAAGATCGGGTTCAGCCCGACTATGCCCAAATAGTATTGGGCAATTTTTTTAGGGCTTAGGTTGGATATATTCTGCTCGGGTCGGGCCGGACATCTCGAACTTACAGGCATCCTGCACAGGCCTAACAATAATAATTGGCAGAACCTTGTTGATAGGATAATCACAAAATTTTTTGCCAATGGAAAAAAAAAACTGAAAATTTGGCGCTTCTGGATTCTTCGGTCATTCTCCACGCCACAAAGCCTGACCACACAAACCGACGTTGTGGGGCCCTCCAACTGGCAACTCGCGTTTTGCCGTCCTTATTCAGATGCCTTTGTTGCTCCCTGTGGGCCGCGTTCATCCTACGCTTCCCCTTCTTTTTTAATTTTCTCTTTTTGAAAAAAAAAAAAATGTACAGTATCCGCGTTTATTTTCTCATAAATTATTGATTTAAACGAAATCCATGAGGCATATACTGTACATTTTTTTAATTTTATATGGACATTTTTTTCCAGAAAATTACTATAGTTTAAATATTTTGTATTTTTCATGAAAATTAAAACGAATCAGGACCTACCACGTGTACAATATCCCAATTCGGTTTTTTTTTTTTTTTTTTAACTCGAAGCCTCTCTCCAGGCTCCAGCTCAGATCCTTTGAATTACAACTTGAGGTTATTACACCGTCTTCCCACGCCTATATATAACGTCCCCTCTTAATCGTGTTTCCTCATACGATTTTTGCTTGTTTGTTCTGGAAGCTTTTAGCTTGCTCTCTCTCTCTCAGGTTCGTCTTTCTCCATCTTCTTCCTTCTGGGTTTCAGCTTTGGTTTTCGGATTTCTTCTTTGTTCCGATCTATCTGTGAATTGTCTCTATGTTTCGCTATTAGAGGATGTGATCGATGAGTGATCGTTCCTTGTTTTCCTGCAATAGGCGTTTGGTAGGGCTTAAACACGGGAGATTTTCCCTTGGATTCTGTAGAAGTTACGGCCCTCTCCTGGTTGTTGAAACATTTGTGTGTTTAATTGCTCATGTAAAGCTTTGTGATCATTCTTTTGGCTTCTCTTTCATGGAATTCACCAGATTTTTCAAGCTTGTATTTGTTGAAATTCTGACTTTGGAATTGTGAAGCGTCGACTTTCTTTCTTTCTTTCTTTTTTTTTTCCCCTTTTCCGGTTTAACTTCGCTTGTTTATTCTTTTTAAATCGAATTTAACTACGTCAGCAATGGAGTACTTCATGAGTTTTTCATTGATTACAGATTTTTCCTGTTGCAGCTGCTTTCTGTGTTTTCTAGGTCCTCAAGAGCTCACCAAACAAAGTACATGGTTGAGTTGGAAGTTCAGATTCCTACTCCCTTCGATCCATTCGCAGAAGCCAGAGAATCGGATGCTCCCGGAACCAAAGGGTATGTGCATATCAGGATTCAACAGAGGAATGGAAAAAAGAGTCTGACCACGGTGCAAGGACTGAAGAAGGAGTTCAGCTACGAGAAGATCCTCAAGGATCTTAAGAAGGAGTTCTGTTGCAACGGCAACGTTGTGCAGGACAAGGAGCTCGGCAAGATCATCCAACTTCAAGGTGATCAGCGCAAGAACGTCTCTCAATTCCTGGTTCAGGCCGGTCTGGTCAGGAAGGACCAGATCAAGATTCATGGTTTTTGAAATTTAAGGCTTTGTTTAGCTTTTGTCAATCAAGCGGGTGGGTCTCTTCATGTGAATTCCTTCTTTCTTTTTGTCTGGGTGTGAAGTTTGATGGGTGAAATTACCAGTTACATGGTTGAGTGATTTTTGCTTTATGGTTAAGTTACAGAGGATATGTTATGGATGATTGTACGAAGCCCACCTTGTGTTCAATAATAATACATGATGATATTATTATTTTGAAAAGTTGTCGCGTAGTATATGTTTTGATCTGAATTTTGATGGATAGAACTCTGAAATTGTGTGAAACAGTTTTTCTCATGGGGAATAGACAAGTTTCAACGATCATCCTTTTACAAAATCTAACTTACGTGTGGATTGGTTCACAAATAACATGTAATAATTCTAATACCAAAATTTTTAATGAATTCCCACTCAATGTGAAAGCTTTTTGTTGTTTGGACATTCCTTAATTTATTTGTAATTTTTACTTAAAAAATTGTAAAGCCGTTAGATTGGATTTAATTAAGCCGACCTTCCTGGTAAGAAGAGAGAGAGGGAAAAAAGAAAAAAAAAAAAAACAAGAAGTAAAACCTAGAAGCCGTGTCACTCTTGTTCTTTATCGTGGCTAAGGACTAGCTAGATGTTTCTCACTTGTTCTTTTCGGTGGTTGAAGGCTGGCTGGTTCTTTGCACCTGCGCACACCCGTATGCGTATTTAGTTACTTCTTTGACTTACTTGGAAACTTATTCCCTGCTTTTAATCAATACCGTATACTAATAAAATTTTTTTAGTTAATTGAAAACGATTTATAGAACCATAATAATTTTGTTAGTTAATTTTTTTTGTTAGAGATTCAAAGGGAATTTAATGATAGATAAGTCTCTGATAATTTTTTTTGAAAAATAAATTACCAATATTTATTTAAATAATTGTAAATTCAAAAATTCTAATTATAAATAAAAAATTTATTAAAAATGTTTAAATCAATTTTTTAAAATAATTTTCATTAATTTATTCTTTTGCAACATTTGCAACTTTTACTGTCAGTCTCATTTTTTTTTAAAAGCATTTTAATTTAATGATCAATCCATCCCCTAAACAAATTCAAACCGTCCCAGAAAAGCAGAATGTGCATTTCAAGAGCCTGTTTAATTTCTGTTCTCATTTTTTATTTTTAAAAACTATTTTATAATACAATTTTAAAATTTTTTAAAAATATAATAAAATAAAAATTCCATTTGATTATGTCAATTAAGAAATAGTTGTAGAATAAAAAAATAAACTGATGGTAATGGTCATATACAGTTAATGGTGGTGATTTATATAAGAAATTGATCAATATAAGTAGATAATTATAATTTTTAATAATTAAATGTAATGTATTTTAAACATAAAAAAATAAAAAAAATAACTTAAAGTTGTTTTCATTTCTTTCTAAAAACAAAAAATAAAAATAGTTTTGAAAACAGCTAAATAAAAAACACTTATCCAAACAGACTTGGAAATTTTTCTGTTTTTGAAATTAAAAAACAGTTTTTAAAAACTGAAAAAAAAAGGTCTAAATCTTCTTGTTCTTAGAGGCTCTATAGGAAAAAAACTGCTATTTCCTTCCTCCACGGAGAAAAGTTTATTCCAAGTCCCAACCTACAAATAATTTTTCATTGTCAATATCTTTCAGAACAAACACAACACAAGGAACTATAAAAACAGTTATTATGGGATGACATCCTCGATTGTTCTTTATGAGACACACACACACACACACACACACACACACTGGATAGTAGTCTTGATATAGAGCCAGCATCGCTCAAGCCACAATTGGTGATGCCAAGTTGAATGAACAGCAGCAACCTTTGAAGCAAGTTTGTGCCACTGGGCCAATCCTTGAATAGACGACACATTGTACCGAGCACGAAGGTACAGACAACGATTATTAGACTTGAAAAATGTCTTGTTGGAAGTGATCTCCGAGCCAATTTTGCCATTTCCTTACTGTAACCCAAACAACCATATAAAACAAACAGACTTCGACTTATGGTTGAAATTCAGCTTTTTATTTGAGGTATTATGATATATCCCTATACTGGGAGCGACCCTTGAAGAAACAAAGACAAGGGAAGAGATCAATATGGCTCACTGAATTCTCTTCATACATGCTTACTTGATTCTATCACACCCTGCAAAACCATAAAAATTCAAGCGCTGATTATGGAACCATATATGCCGACTCAGAAATTATATATAGGCATGTAATGAATTAATAATAGAAGGTTCACGTTATCTGTCTTTTTTTTTTTATATGATTTCCCTGCTTATTAGGTCGTCGTCCGCCAAGCCGCAATGTTTTGTTGCTGTTTTGAGTTTTTCTCTTGATACGAACCTGTAACGAAATCAAAGGACGGATACATAAAGAATTGGTTGTTGATAGAATGCAATATTATCATGCAATTCAGATTGCCAATTAACATCACTTGATTGGATAGAACTTCTTGTCCATCGATGTTGATCATGTTTCACTAACCGTGAATCACCATTAGACATTTACTATTTTCAATATGAATGAGACAGCCTCTTAGTCTATTCTTCGTCCAAACTGGGCTGTGTGTGTGTTTTGGATTACCTTGAGTGCAAGCTTCTTCAGTTTATTCATTGCATGGAGTGCCAATCGCTTCACTCTGTAACTGACTGAACTGCTCTTTGGCTTGCCTCCATATTCTCCAATCCATGGGTGCTCTATGCAGCCATGCAATATAATATAAATACATAATTGGGAAAATGAACCTAAAAAGATCGATGAGAAATAAACAAGAATAAGATAAATTTTCATACGTAGGACCTGAGCAGAAGAGATACGTTTCTTGGGGTCACGTGTCAGCATCTTCCGGACAAGGTCCTTAGCACTGTCTGATATGCTGGGCCATGGATGCGTTTCAAGATCAATATGACCTTCCAATATGGCATTATATAATCCCTGTTCCGTTACTATACCACATATATTTCATACTAATCATTAATCAAGCCTCACAAGAGGTACTGAAATAGGAAATAAATAAAACAAAAGGAATAGAGACTCTAGTACATGGCAGTGGCAGAGTGGATTTGTATCGTGGCACAAATCCACTCAATAAATTTTTTATGTAACATGATGTCAATCATTTAATTTAATTGAATAACTATTACAATTTTTGTCACAAGATACTCAAAAAACACTAAATCTCAAATTTTTGAAAAACAAATATGTGAGAAAGTATTTTGATCATGAAAATTGTTTTAATTTTCTTAAGATAAGTATATATTGAGTGAGTAGATTTAGCTTACTCATCAAATCAAATCGGTGGGAGAGTAAGTTATTAGTTATTAAAATCCTATCTGTAGATCCTCTAAAAGGGTGCCTCGTGTCGTGCCAGGGAATAAAGTGACCCGAAAAAGAAAAAAGGATGAATGACGATTAAAAATCCTGAAAGAACAATGGTGTGTAAAAACATTAGTGTATGAAATAAGAACTGTTCACAGCTGGAACCTTTGTATTTACAAGTCAAAGATCTATCCTTATATTTCACGTAAACTGATATGTTCTTCTATGGTCCTCAATTGTCTCTTCTCTAAATTGATAATATAATTAATTTCTCCCATAAATATTAAGGTAAAGTAATGTAGGCTTCCCAATGAGACTATCCTGCAAGGAAAAGGAATAATGTGTCATAGTTAGTTTACGGATTTGGATTCCATACCTATTCCAATTGTATGCATCCAATACCTATCTCCACTGTCCTTATCTAATGCTCTCAATATAATTAATAGTTTTAAAGAATTTATGCAACCACATCCAGTGTTCACCCAATCTTTCTCTTTGCATTTTTTTTTTTTGCCTAAAACATGATAACACGTACACCCATAAAGTCACAAGCTTCAAAACGTGAATTTATATTTTTTTTATTTAAAGGTAAATAGTTCAGATGCATTAAAAAGAAAATAATAAAATGTGCTAAAAATTAGAAGAAGAAACAAAAAGAAGGTAGATGCGCATCCGTTTCCATTGATTTATATTTCTTACTCCATACACATCATCTAATTACATCTTTATGTTTTGCAAATGACGAGTCAAACACCATCTCCAATCCTCATATTGCAAATCTTCCAAACCATTCATTGTATTACAAGTTTACAAAAAAAAGTTTTTAATTCTAAAAAATTGATATTTCAAGTGTGGGAGCTAGTTCAGTTCATGTTCTACTGTAGCACATTGTCTTTCATGGTCTGCGACTGGATAGAAGAAGAACACAGCACAAGAACATTACTAGAAAGAAAACTACACTTAGTGGTGAGGCTGGAGAAGAAGAACATAGCATAGAAGGGCAGATGGAGTGCAAGATGATTGTTTAAGAAAGTTTGAAAATATGGTGAGAAACATAGAAGACGCCCGATTAATGTTTGATGGCACCAAATAAGGAAGGTAATTTTTTTTTTTTTAGCCCAGATATAAGGAAGGTAATCAAAGGTATATCTTATCAACGTAGGCAACGAAAAACAGGGGAGGATTGAGTGAATACCAACTCCGGTTGAATCAACTCTTTAAAGTTTAAAGCCATTGATTGTCTTGAGAGGCATGTGATGAGGACATGTGGAGACAGGTACTGGATGCATGTAGTTCGGACAGGCATGAGATCCAAATCCGTTAGTTTACCGGCTCGGAAAGGAAATACTCCACTAAGTAAGAGATACAATATAACTCCAGCACCCCATATGTCTACTTCTTTCCCATATTAAAGTTAGTTTGAGTAGCTTTTTAAAAAAAATCTGACACGATAGATGAAAAACAATACTTTAAAAAGGCAGGATATATGAAAATATCATAAAATATTAAAATAATTAAATAATAATTTATTTTTATAAAACAAAAATCAAGAAAGATGTCATAAATTTTTTTAAAAAAACTAACTAAATATAAAATAATATATGTTCATATAAAATGTCTGCAAAATGAATATTTTTTATAAAATATTTAAAATATCTAAAAATTACTTATTTTTTTAATTTTAAATAAATGGGTCCAAAATTTTTAAATCACCTAAAAATAATTATTTTTTAATCTTAAAAAAAGAGGCCGAACTTGTGCCTGTTTGCATATCTAGGTAGAATAATGGAGCTTCATTTTACCCGAACAAGAAAAAGAATAATAATGAAGCTTCAGTGTGTAAGCAAAAACCATTTTTCCTTCTTGTGAAGATTATTTCCAATTTTCCACGTCTTTCAGATGACATAGGTAGTTTCGTATTTGATGAACCCTCACTATCTTTCGTATTTGATGACTTGGATTGGAACGCTTTCCCTCACTATCAAATGTCGTCCCTCCTGCGGGGTCAGTGTGTTCCTTAATCTTCTCAAAATTATGGCGTTGATATAGTGAATTACAAATTAAGAGGTTTGAAAAATCCATGTATTTTACAAGTTATCATTTCAGTGGTCAAGGCCTCATTCATTCCTTTCTATTAAATTGACATTTAAATATCATTAAAATAATATATTTATATAGATGATAAATTTAATTTTTAAATCGCTTGTTTGTTATAACATCACATTGAGTTATTAATTTTGAGCAACACTTATTATTTTGCTAAATTTACTTATTAATCTAACATGTTCAAACACAAGTTAAGAGTTTTAAAAATTCATTAATAAGTAAAGTTAGCAAAATAATAAATGATGGTCAGGAATTAACTGTTAGGTATTATATCATATCCAAATAGATATTGATTTAAATATAATATCTCAATTTAATATATTATTAAGTTATGAGATATCATTGAGGATAATAAAACAGCCTGAATGAGCTGATTGAAGCTACATTTAGAAATTTGCTTAGTCTAAATTAAATAATAAAATAACTCTGACGACGGGTTATAAATAAAGGCTTGTAAATTGAGTTAGCATACTGTAAGTTGTTATGCTTTAAGAGGGTTTCCTAACCAGTGATGGCTCTTTCCCAATTGCTATTAGTCAGAAGATTTTCTCTCTTATCTATTTATCTATTTTCTCCTGCCTGTATCTCTTGTGCTTTTCAGTTATGTTGACTAGGGGAACCGTAAGTCTTCTGCTGTATTTCTCTAGTTTGTGAGAATTTTATATAAATGTTTTTAATACAGTTTGCCCAACATTAACAAGTTACCGTTATAAATGATTTGGAAATTAAATTTATTACCTATATGAATATGTTATTTTAATGACATTTAATGCCAATTTACAAACGAGAACTTATAAAATACATGAATTTTTAAACCTCTTAATTTAAAATTTGCTGTGTTAGATTAACAAGTGAATTTCTCAAAATAACAAGTACCGTTCAGCTGTTATTTATGCTCCTTGGCATGTCGTGAAAGGAATCAATGTTTGCGTTTGATTGAACAACAATGCCCCAACGCAAGTGCCTAACCATGTCCTTCACAAGAAAGAAAAGCAGAGCAAGATATACGGCATCCCAAACAACAAGGAACGATGATCTCTATATAAACATCATTTTAGCTCAGGTTACATTTCAAGCTTTAACAAGCTATGTAACCTTATCCTATCCCTGAAATAAAAATCACCATTTTCCTAGGTGAGTTTCTACTTCGAAACAAGTCAAAATTAAGCAGACAAGCAACTGGCTCACAGCTATGCTTAACCTTGTAATCAAAACCAATCTAAAAATTGAAGCTTTACAACATGCCTAAGAAATAAAATGACATATTTCAGTAATATTTGGGTCCAAAATTACATTTGAAATGACTGAAACTTTCCACGAAAGTAGAGTTCTTTTTCACCCAGAGCAATGTAGAACGTGATTCAGAATAACTTGCCTTGTGGGTTTCCGCTCCTCATCATTGCACAGAATTCGTCATAATTGATTCTACCATCCTGGAAAACCATAAAAAGTTGAGTATTAATTATGAAGCTATAACACAAAATTGTAGCCGTATAATGAATAAAATGATTACATTATCTGTGTCAACTTCTGATATGATTTCCTTGATTGTGCCTTCATCGCCCATGCCGTATTCTTTCATGGCCGTTTCAAGTTCATCTCTCGTTATGTGCCTGTAATGAAATTAAACAAAGGATGTATTAATGCTTCCGAAAACCCAACCATACTTTTTTAGAATGATTTAGAATTTAATGTGTTCCTTTGCAAACCAATTCACATTATCCGTTATCTAAGGAATATGAATAGAATGACTCACCCACTGTTATCTTTATCAAAATACTGGAAGGCTTTGTAGAGATGCTCATCTCTCTCTAATCTATGTCTATGCATTGTGGCAGTGATAAACTCTATATAGTCAATGGTGCCATTTCCATCTACATCAGCCTGAAATTTTGGCAGAGAAATATAAATTTGGAAGATGTCAGAGAAAATTACTTTGAGGTCGCGAAATTGTTAAACAACAATATCTTACAGCTTCCATAAGCTGCTTCACTTCGGCCTCTGTGAGCTTCGAGCCAAGTCTCTGCAATCCCTCCTTTAGTTCTTCATAGGTGATTGTACCGCTCTTGTCGGTGTCCATATTTGTAAACATTGCCTTCAACCCTTGGATCTCTTCTTCAGAAAGATTTTCAGCGATGACCTAAAAGAAAATCCAGCGTCCAATCACATTATTAAATTGACACATCAACATAGAGAAGGAAATTTAATGTCATAAACACAACGGAGCAACACCTGAATATTCTGTCTCTAAACGTCTAATCATTAACATGAGACTATATGTTGTTTTACAGACTGAATTACTGTCAAACATTGCTAATTTCAATAAGTCCAATCCCTTCCATCTCAACATCCAGCAAACAGCACAGTAGCTAACTTGTGTATTGACTCACCTTCAGGGCAAGTTTCTTTAGCTTATTCATAGCTCTGAATTGCTTCATTCTGGAAAGGACTGCGCTATCTATCGGCTTGTCAGAAGCATTTCCATCTTCTCTAATCCATGGGTGCTCTATTCAACCATACAATACATTGATTCAATTAGTTGATAAATGAACATGAATTAAAAAAGGAAAATATTCAAGAATGCCAGTCCATGTGACAGTGACAGTAATTCAAATTCAGTAAGACGTGTCACTGAGTGAAACTTTGTATATCTTCATCTTCAATTATTTTTCTTCATTAGTATAATTATACTGTAAACAAATAACTGACACTGTCAAAAGTCTAGCCTATGGAAGAAATATTATACTTGTGAAATTAGAGTTCCCATGTAAGAGGTTAACCGTCCAGGATTTACCCATATCAGATGTTAAGTTAAATGCTCAATGACAGATGATCACAACCAACTTGCGCCTGTATTTCCATAATATTTTTTCTTAGAGCTATGGCCCGTAATGAGTATGCTTGTGGGTCAGGCTCATGAAATGATTTCACGAGAACTTTTCCAGACCAAATCACAGAAGTGGAGAATGATATCATTCTAAACATTCCTCTGTATGTGGAAGACTTTCAGTTTTGTGAAGTAACATTGCAAAGAAAGAACAATAGAAGTTACATACCAAGAACCTGAGCAGAAGTAATGCGCTTTTTTGGGTCTTGTGTCAGCATCTTACGAACAAGATCCTTGGCACTGTTTGATATGCTTGGCCATGGTTGACTCTCAAAATCGATATGGCCTTCCAAAATGGCATCAAATATTCCCCTTTCCGTCTCTACAGCACATATGGAATACAAGTAAGTCAAGCTATAACAGTAACGGAGAAAATAGAAAGGAAAGAACAATAGGCTCTAATACAACTTGATAATCCCGCATCGAAAAGGAATGTTGCAGTTTACCAGCCCAAAAAGGAGGTACACCACTGAGTAAGATATACAATATCACTCCTGCACTCCATATGTCAATTTCCTTCCCATATCTGCGTCGTAGGACTTCAGGAGCAACATAATAAGCACTCCCAACTATATCCCGATAGACCTTACCTGAGGAGAAGTAATTTATGAAGAGATAAATTTTCTTGTCAGATAAAAAGTAACTACCAAACATAATAGAAATGCACATTTTCTTTGTAAATTTTGACATGACACCTGAGATACCTCGAAGGTTATGTAGAACCCTCAATTCTCAACATAAACACACCATTCAGAGTTCAAGGATTTCATTAAACCTAAGATCTTAACCCGTGCGTCACATGGAATATATGAGAATACTTGATTCTAGTTCTTTTGATCAACCACCTCAGGTGACTGCTGCTGTGGTTCAGAAACATGGCTTGTATAAGATTAATTAGGAATGGGATGGAGCATATGAATACCTATTTGCCAATCAAAGTTTATGTTGTTTCTTATTATATATATCTGCCACTTCAGAACAATAATCATAGAGTTATGAAAGCAAAGAAATTGTTGCATTATATATTTTCATAACAGAGATAAGACAAAGAGGTAGAAGGCCAACTCAAGGCTCAAGAGATTCTGCTAAACTTGAAGGCTTAATTTGTCTAGAGGAATAAAATCAACGACTAAAACTCAAGGAAATATATACTTCAGTACCAACTCGTAAATTCAGTCAAACAAATGACCAATGATGGGAAAGAAAACTTTACCTTCCTCTATGAAAACCGACAAACCGAAATCTGTGGCTTTGAGAAGTGCCTTTTCATCCTTACTGGACAACAAGAAATTCTCAGGCTTGAGATCCCTATGCATCACACCCATAAAGTGGCAGATATGAACAACATTAACAATCTGTCTACATATAGAAGCAGCAGCTCTTTCACTGTAATGCCCCTTGGCAATAATCCGATCAAAGAGCTCACCACCTGCACACAGCTCCATCACAAGATGTACAGATTGACTATCCTCATAAGCACCTTTGAACTCCACAATATTGGGCTGTCCACTCAAATGCTGCATAATATGAATCTCCCTCTTCATATCCTCCCTATCAGCTTTGCTCGTAAGCTTCCTCTTCGAGATTGACTTGCAAGCGTATGGTCTGCCAGTTGAAATCTCAGTGCAGAGATAGGTCACACCAAATTGGCCCCTTCCCAGTTCTTTCCCAATCCTGTAAAATTGCTTCACATCCTCAAATTGCTTCCCCAGAATTGTATTGTGACCGGGCTTATTAGGATTTAGGGAAGCCCTGGCAGAGGGTTTTTCGGGTAAATGATACGGCTGATGAGAAGTGGGTTTCGGTTGATTCACATGGGGTTCATAGGCTTTGTAATTCTGCGCTCCGGTTTCACCAACTGACCTGTATCCATTATAGTCTCGCTCTGAATCTTTGCCTTTACCCAAACACAGACCCATTTTCGATGAGATACTCAGAAGAAGCTGATTTAGTTGAGAATGGGTGGGAATTCAGAGAACAGCAAAGGGTTAGCTCGGAAATCTGGATACCAATACGGATCGCGGTTAAAGTCAAAGAACGGCGATTAATCAGCTGAGAAAATTGAGTAATAGAGACAGGAAGAAGGAGTCAAGGGGATGGATAAAGAAGAAGATGCGAAGGGTGCGAAGGAGGCGAAGAGACGAAGAAGGATCGGCCAAGTTTGATCCTGAAAGGAAGAAAGGATGAAAGAAAAGTATACCTTTACATGAAAAGTGTGAAAGGGAAAAGGACAAAGCAGAAAACGAAGACAGAGGAAGTGGATGGGATGAGCAATTAACAATGTGAAAAAGGGTAGCTAACAGTTTTCACAGCAGAAAGCCTCCATGAGCACGTAGCTAAGAGAATCAGAAATGCGTTAATTCAAGTCGGCACGACACGGTTTCATTCTCTTGCTTGATTTATGCCGTCAATGAGAGGATTCTGAGGACAAATTAAAAAGAATGAACAAATATTTGAGCGCGTTGAAGGCAGAAGCAGCTGAGCTTTTTTTTTTTTTTTTTCAGGCCAGAAAAAAACTAATTGGTTGGTAAAAGGAGGGGTGGGGGGGACAGGCAACTAAGCTTGAGCGAGCCTTCCAACTAACTTTTACTTAAGACAGTTAATTTTTCGGCACAGCCGCGTAATCCTTCCTTTTTTTTTTTTTTTTAAGTTTCTTCCCCACTTATTACCACGATTTGGCGGTAAACAAAATGAAAATTATAAAGGATTTGGATTATCAAAAGTGACAAGGGAAATTAAATAAAGGGATTTTTCAAAAATTCGACTACTATCCCAACACACTAGTTGAATACTTAAAAATTTTAAAAGGCCTCAATATTTATTAAAATGAAAAATTTTCCAATATTAATATCTACATTGATATCATGAAAGCTTTATCACTCATTAACAACAACTGCTATAATTTTCATCTCTTCTTTATCATTGTCAAGAACATCAGAAAACTCACAATGAGAGATCACATGATCACACAGACTATAACTATATAAGAGTGAACAAATGCATTGACCTTTTTACTCACAAAGCTTTTTATAAAAATTTTAATATTTTTATCTTTATCAATTCGCCCTCTAATTATATAAGTTTTATGATTTTAAATATGACATGGCCTTATATTAAAAAAATTATAATGGAAGAATTACATATATACACTGGTTTTTAAATAAAAAAATCAATCACCAATGTGCTTAGCTATTCGTAAATACAAAATTTAAATATGTGCATTAAAATTTTAACTTGCAAATGGAACTAAAAATTAATTAATTTTTTTAATTCTCTCAATTATAGTTGAAAAAGGGGTAATTTTACTCTTAAATTATATGACTATGAGTATTGGGATCTTAAATTTTTTGGGGTATAATTTTACCTCTTAATATTTAAAAACATTTCAATGTGACACTTCTTATTAATTATAAAAACGTTGATTGCCAAGTCATGTGAAAGAAAATTTAAGCCTCACAAAAATTGCACCCAAAAATATAGAGGAATAAAATTACATAAAAAATTTTATAAAAAATTTAAAGTTATAAACATTCTTGAATCTATAATTTAAAAATAAAATTATCTTTTTAATCGCTATATGTTAAAACAAAAAAAAACTTTGTTATGCTTAGAAGAAAAGTGGCAAGGTCAATGATAATTTATAAATAATAAAAATTAGCTCGTGTGAGTGTAACAGCATGAGGTTGTGTTGTTCAACTAAGCTTTTGGAGATTTAATTTATAACTTCATATATTAAATAGATTTAATTAGAATTCAAGATTTGAGAGGATTTTAATCCTTCTTCTAATTAGAATTTAAGGAAAATTGATTTCTACATGGATATACCTTGAGTCTTTGTAAGTGCAGAAAGAACAATTTATAAATGGAAAAACTTATATATTTCATTTTATATACTTAAAGTATTTATTTTAAATTATTTATATATTATTTATTATATAATAAATTATTGTTATTAATAATATTAACACGTTAAAATTCACATTTTTTATTTGATTGGATAAAAGTATTTTAAATATATAAAATTAAATATAAAATTCTTGCCGTTTATAAATAATGAGATTTATTATAAATTTTAAAATATAAATCAAATATATTTGTACTAAAATATTTAAAATCACAAATTTTTTTAAAAAAATTGAAAAATTTCAATATCTCGTGTCAAAAGAAATTTCAACAGCAACGTTTCATTGAATTAAAGGAAAAATATATCTGCAAGCTGTTATAATTTTATTCAATTTTGAATGAGATCCTTGTAGTTTATTTTATTTTAATTGAGTCTTTCTAGTTTAACCAATCAAATTTTTTGATCCTTAAAAATTAAAATCTTTACATTTTTCCTTTAAAAAAACTACAAACTTTTATATTTTTATTAAATAATTATATGACTTTAGAATTAATTATATAATTTTTATAACTCAAAATTTATATAATTAAGTTGTCTTCTAAATTTTTTATATATGTAGAATTTTAATAAAAATTTATAACAAAAATGTAAACAGTGGATTAAATTAATTTTTTATTTTGGCTAAAAGTATTAAATTAAATTTTTTGCAAACTCCAGGAGAATTTTTGTCTTGTAAAATTTAATAATTCATTATTAATTTTAACCTTGAAGGGTCAATGTATATAATAGATGAAATTATAAAGATTTAATTAAAACAAGATAAATTATAGGGACTTAATTCAAAATTGAGTAAAATGGTCAGGATATTTAAGTATATTTTTCCTAAATTAAATGCTGAAATGCTTAAATATAATAAGGAATAATAAACAATCCGAACACTGATGTAAACATGTTTAGCTGTCACCTTGACGTGTAATCATTTTAAGCATGTATAGAGTTAAAATTAAAAGTCTTGGTGATAGATAGCAGAGTAATTAACGCAAATGTCATCAATATAAATAAAATCAGTGCTAAATGGATGTGAAGAAATTAAGACAGTTGTTAGATGTGGATTAGGATGAAAGTTTTTATATTTAGAATAAAAATATGAGTGCTTTTTATTCATAAGTACAAGTTTTTTGCGGTCAACACTCAACATGTTGAAGCGATTTTTTTTTTTTTTAACCGGTGAAAAGCATGGTGAAGCGAGTTGAGTGGAGTTTATTCGAATGTTTAACTGATCATAATCCAAAAGGCAAATGATGATTTGGTGGGTGAAATGGCATGATGTCACGCACCAAAATAAACGGAAATTATGAAAGTTGAAACTTCATGTATATCCTTTTTCAAAAAAAAAAGGAAAAAAGAAAAATATGACGTCTGCATGACGTTAACCCGTAAATCATGCAAATTATTCACGTTCGGACAAGTGCCATGTTTGAATTTCGTTTCAATCCTGTTGGCGTAAGTTATGTAAAGTCTCTTGACCAATTCATTCTTTTAGAAGACACCTTGAGTTTAAACCTGACACATTTGCTTGTGAGTGCTATACTCTTTAGGATTTGGATTAGCTAATGATTTAAGTCCATCTATTTAATAAATATTTTAATTATAATCGTTATATTTTTAATATTTAAAAATGTTTAAAATATATTTTTTAAAAAATCAAAACAATTCATATCACTTTCTTATGGAAAAATGGTTAGGTTAGAGGTTAAAATTTAAAATTAAAAAAAAACAATGTAGAGTCCATGATCAAACTAACAAAAATTATTCTTCTGGCAAATCTGGTTAGATAAAAAATACAGTTATCTTTAAATTATAATTCTGTGAATAAAAAATTATATTGAGATAACTACCATCAGTTAAATCTCACATTATTCAAATCTGATCAGTAATAATGAATACCATGTGGTTATTTCGGAAAGATAGGAAAAAATTTAAAAAGATAATAATAAAAATAAGAAGTGAAGTCAGACTAATTCAAGTGATAAAGGTTGACTATTGCAATATAGATATTAACGGTTCAAACACTCAAAAATATTTTATATTAAAGTCTATAGTTATCGAACTCTCAGTTAATTATTTTTATATTTTTAAATTATAAAATTATATTAATTTATTTATAAATTTAAATTAAATATAAGCTTGGTTAACTTGCGAGTTCACTCCTCAAGTTTATAGTTTTTACATTCTTAATTTACAAAATTATGTCAGCTCACTTATAAATTTAAATTAGATGTAAATTCAATTAAACTCACTAAATTTATTGATTTTTTGCCAAGTTGAGCATGCTAAATATATACTATATATAATTTGGTCGTAAATACGATAGGACCAATGGCAAAACCACATTCACCAGGGGCAAATGCACCTCATCGCATGAAAAAAATTGCATATGTAATATAAAAAAATTACAACTTTACACCCCTTATTTTTAATATTTTGAATCCTTTATACTCAATAAAAAAATAATTGAGTCCAAATTTCAATTCTATATTAATCTTCTTAACATATTTTTGGCTAAAAAAAGCTCAATATATTTTCCCAAGTAAAAATAAAAATAACTTTACTTATGCTATTATATTTTTTCCTTATGTAATTATTTTTAAAAAATTATAATCTATTTTTAATTATTAATTTTTAAATATATTGTGTTGCACCCCTGATTTAAGGTCCTGGCTCCATCATTGGGTAGGACCTGCTTCAAAAAAAATAAAAGTAAAAAAACAAGAACTAATATTAATAAAAATAAGAAATATAAAAAATAAGTTGCCCTATTTTAAAATTTTTACATTGAATATGATAATCTATCTTTGTAGATAGATTTAATTTTAATTATTTATATTTAAAATATATTTAAATTAAATTATAATCATATTTTATATTTAAGTATTTAATCATATACTTTTAATAGTTATTTATTAATACAAATAAATTTTACAAGTTTACAATCCAATTTTATGATTTGAGTTTGTATTTCTATTATAAATTTACTTAAATTTGTAAGTTTGACAACCTTGTTGAAGATTACTAAAAATACCAAAAATAATGTTATGTTTGATATCAAAAAGGCTAAACACAGAAATGTGAGACTCAGATCATAGTGAGATGGGAGAGCCTTATCTTTTATAAAATTTCATTTTACTATTTCACTCTATGTTTTTAAATAAAAATTAATTTAATATATAATATTATCAATGATCCTAAATTGAAGAAGTCGGGATAGACCTGAAGTGAGAATGAAATTTTTTTAACTGATTTTTATTTATTTATTTATTTACAAGACTCAAACTCAAAATTCTATTTAAAAAGTGTAGATGATAAAACTCATATGTCAGGTATTCTACTTATCATTGTTTAGCCCAACAAAGTCGATATTTAATTCATATAATATGATATTATTATGATTTTTCATAATATAATTGAAATATTAAATTATTAAACCCTGAATTATTAAATTTTTAAAATTTACCGGGGAAACTCCACTCACTTTTTTTATTTTGTAACATCTCTTTTTTAGGTCATTAATACTTTATTAAATGTTTAAAGTTTAAACCTAGATTTCTCAGAAAGAAAAGGATAAAAAAACCACTGACAAAAGAGGTAGTTGAATGTTGACAAAAACAAGTGTCTCATAATGAAATTAATAATTTAAAAAGGTTAGGGATTAAATGTACATTACATGCGAAGTTAACAAAGAAAAAAAAAAATCAACACATTTTTAGCTTGGTGATGTTGTGCACATGTAAATGCATCCATATAAAAAAAAAAATAATTACCGCAACTTTACGTGAATATCCTGGTCCTACTTTTAAATTATTGATCGTCTCATCGCAATTCAATAATTTTGAAAATAATAATTGGACCCTTATTCAGCCCCATGATTTGACCTCCCCATATAATGTGCGTTGCGTTATTAGTTATACTATTACTAAAATATGAACAGATAAAAAATGGTTTAAATTTAAGTGGACGTTAACAGTGAATGTCTATGATGATGATAATAATAATAATAATTAGATACAAGAACTGGGCACTGCGCAAAATTTTAAAAATAAATTACATTGTTTATAATTTAATAATAATATAAATTATAAATAGTTTTATATTTTATTCACAAGAAGTGCATTACTTATCTATAAAATTACCTTCTTTTTCAATTTTTTTTATTCAATACCATTTTTCTACTAAAAAAATTTAGATGGTCTAATTGACTCCTAAGACATTGCCAAGATCAGGACATATCTTAAAACTCAAAGAATATTTATAAAAATTTTTCCATATCATTTATTAACAAGGTTTTTATATTAATAATAAAATTTAAAGTCATGATCTTGAGAATTATGAGTAAACTTTTTAACAACTAAACCAATGTATGTTTAGAAAAAAAGTGATTTCTAGCGCAAGATCCCATGTTAGAGTCTCTGTTAATGCAAAAAATGCCTTCAATGAAGCCACCTTTAATTAAGTCTAATAATGTGTGGAGCTGACCCATTATATTTAAAAAATGATTTTGAATAACCCGATATGTTTGCACTATTAGCATGCCATCATTTATAATCCAACGAGCTAAGCTACTGAAGCACGTGGTATAATATAAGCTCCCTAGCTAATAAATTACATTAAATTGTTATAGCTTTTAAAAAGTTATTGTCTCGCTTTGAAAGCAATCAACCTGAAATGGAAGATTAAATAGAAATATGGGTACTTGTAATTGGAACTTTATTGATACAACCGTTTAAAAATATTGCATTAGGGTGATGATAGTGACAGCTAGAAGACCAAGTTCAGCTCATCTGCCCATGCGAATAATATGGTGTCCTTTGAATCATTTGCTTATTATATTATATCACATTGAGTGCCTTTGTTTTAAGTAACTACTTAAATCATAATTGGAAGCACTTTAATGATTGGGTTTCGTTAATTGGGAACACTCCAATCATGCCACGGTTTTGATAAAAAAAAAATAATGTATATATATTTATGTATATTTTAAATCATTTGAATGAAATTTTAGTAATTTTGTAATTTCTGCACTACAAAAATTTTAAATCATTCACATTTAGCATGATTTAAATTACACTTGTGTGTGTGTTTGTTGGACTTCTTGATACTACAAAGATGGTATGGAGCTATACTTTTAAAAAAGTATACGTACCAATATGAAATACACAATATGATATTGCATGCAGAGATATGATAACATTTAAATATACAATTTTTAAATTTTATTTATAAATCTTTCACAAAAATTAAAGAAAATTTTAAAACTCATTAATTTTATTCAAAAAATTAACAAGTTTTAAAACTTGTAACTATTAAATATACATATTTCATTAATGCATTTTCTCTCACTAATTTTTAATGAATAAAAGAAAAAACTTATAATAAAAATTTAATTAGTCAATTCATAATTAAGCCAAAAAAAAATTATTTATCTTAGAAATAAAACCCGAGGAGCTAGCCACTTTTCATCCTGTTGTGTTGTGTGATACTTTTGGGGTTTTGGAAAAAAATAAAAATAAAACTTCAAGTCTATCTGTTTGATATAGTTATTTAGGGTATACTCTCTCCGTTAAAAAATATAAAGTATTTTTAATCGAATTTTATCCTTCAATAAAATAGTTATCTACTTTTAAATTAACCTTACACTTTTTCCCCATAGGCAAGCAAAGAGGAGAGAAAAAACAAAAAAAAAATTTAATAACTTTTTTAGTTCAATTTTCTCCAACAGTTTGAAAATGCTTTAAGAAAACAGAAAAATGACAATGATAATAAAGTCTCAAAAATTGATGATTCATAATAGTTACTCCCTCCACTCAAAAATATAAAACATTTTTAACTAAATATTACTTTCTAATAAAGTAATTATTTGTTTTCAAACTAATCCTATCTTTTCATATTTTATCTCTATAAAATAGAGTAGTCCATCTTAAAATAAATATAAAGTGATTTACTCAGTAGGGGTACATTTGAAAAAAAAGTAATGATTACACATTAAAATATTAAAAATGTCTTATATTTTTAAATATTTAACCTCTCAAAAAATGCCTTATATTTTTAAACAGAGCGAGTAAATATTGATAAAAATTTTTAAAAAATAAGTTATAAATATTAATTCAAACAATTGCAAATAAAAATTTTAACGGTAAACTATGAGTTAAATTTCTTGTTTTATCATTTTGATTTATTTTTTTGTATAATTAGTATTATCATGAATATAAAAATAAAATGTATATTTCAAGTCATATTTTCACGTCCAAAAACCATTGTTTATTTTTTAAATTAATATAAAAATAAAATGTATATTTCGAGTCATATTTTCATATCCAAAAGCCATAGTTTATTTTTAAATTTTCATTTCATAAACGGGGTCTTCCTAATTTTATCTTACACCTCAATCTAAATTCTGACTGGTTAAGTCTTCATATATTGATTACGTCACATGTTTCCCCCCAAAAGCCTATATAAATAATTAACGTTTTTTTTAAATGTTAAGTGAGGTTATTTATATTTTGCTCACAAAAAAGTGAGGTTATTTATAAATAGTAGTTCTTGAAATTAGAACCATGATGTTGTGAGATGACCGTCTTCCATAAGTTATGGGCCTACATAACAAATTTCAAAATCACAGGCCCAATGATCGGGCCATTGTTAGTACTGGTGCCTCGTTTTAAAGATTTTTCCCGCAGTTTCGTTTTCATAAAATTACAATTAAACTCTGAAACCTTGTGCTTAATTACGAAAACCTCAGTTACTAATAAAAGTACTCGAGAGAGAAAAGTTCAATTTTTGTGTACAATTGACCCTAAATTAAACAATCTCATTTTCCCCGTGGCCTAAAACTTGAGATGTCACGTCAATGGGAAAAGATCTTAATTTAAAAAAAAAATTGGAAGAAGATATTTTCTTGTTGTACCAACCAAACAAAGATTTTTTTTTTTTTTCTTGTCGTTCAACATGTGTTTTACCAGCAATTTCTCATTCAATAACAATCAATAATGGCACATAGACCACTGTATTGGCACTTACCCACAAAGAGATGAAATTATAATATAAAAACTAGAACTGTATTGGCACTTACCCACAAAGAGATGAAATTATAATATAAAAACTAGATCAATCGGATTGATCACTTTTATGAAAATTAATTTTTTTTTTCACACAATAGTGTGCCCCAAAAAGAAAATTTAGTCAAAACCTGATGATGTTCATATCTTAATCTCAGCTAAATTAGGTACGTACATGTGTGTGGAGTTTGAATAAATAATTACAGTGATAATAATTTGTGATACATTTACTTTAATTGATGTGTACGTTGAGATGATGAATTTTAAAAAGAGATTATGGGGCCAGAAACTCCAAGCCCAAAGTCTGTTAATTCTTTGAAGAATAATTTTATTTACACTTACTTCTCTAAATTGAAGTTAGCATAATTTACTTTATTTTCAACAATTAACCTCACACTTTTTAATTATATGATTTAAGTGTATAAATTTAAAGGTTAACGGAAATTTAGGTAAATTTCATTGTGTGGAATTTAAGAAATAATATATATGATTCATAATTAATCAGTGAACAGTATAATATGAATTTCATATTTTACATGCCGATTATATTTATATTGACTACATTGATAATTTTGTATGAGCTGCAAATTTTAACTCTAACATTGGATAATACCATCCTTCGATTAATTAGTGAATTGTTAATTAATTCATGTAATTAGTATATGTATCCCGAACAGCAATATTCTTGGATTGAATGTTTGAAAGTTAAAAAAAATGTAAGATATTATAACTATTTTCAAAGATTGACATATTTAAAAAAATTACCAGATATTTATGTTGAAGGAAATAGGCCAATCTATTGACTTTAAGATAAATATATCTAAAAATTGAAATTTGGATAATTAAATTTTTACTGATAAAAAAATTTAACTTGAGATTTTGAAGATGTGTGTGTGTGTGTGTGTTAATTTTGTTTCCGAGACTATCTCACACCCTTCAAAATAACAATGAAGTCAGATAATAAGGCAATCAGTCAACAATGTGAAGTATTTACCATAAGTGAATTATAAACAATTACTTAAACAAATCAAGCTACATAACAAAAAGAGGCACTTAATTAATATTCCTCGGTCTCTAGAATTTTTTTTTTCTTTTTTTGCGTTTTGATCTCTCTTGGTGATCATACAAGGTAGGTCTCGGAACCGAAAGGCAAGTTGAGCCCAAATACAACATTGCAAAGAGATCATGAAAAGAAAAGAAAAAAAACTAAATATCAAAATGATCTTCAAGAACAAAAGTTCTGCACATTGGGCAAGATCCTTGTTGGATGAGCCATTTATCAACACAGTGAAAGTGAAAAATATGGTCACATTTTGGAAGCTTCCTCACCACATCTTCATCTTCAAACTCCTGCACTCTCGCCAAAAAGCAAATACCTTTATTCTCAATAATTAGTAATAATTGTAGATGTACATGGAAATTATTAATCAACCAATATATATGTTGTTTCATTACAAAGTAGGCTTAGATTAGGGCTTGCATGTCTCCCCTTGTATTTATGTATTGTTGATTGGGTGACCTAAACTAGAGCAACCTTATATCTACATATTCTTTTAATAATTAAGGTTGTTTAATAATGTCTCATCATCACTTAATTAACATAATTAATTAATAATTACCTGGAAGCAAATGGAGCAGAAGGATTCATTGTATAAAGCCAACACTTTTGTGGAGTTGAATTGATTCAAAGGGAGGCTTTGAATCAATTTCTGAGACAACCCTGGCACTCCTCTCATGTCATAAATATCTGATACTTCTCTGTACACTGTTTCTGGTATCCCAATCTGGTCATATAATCATATCAGTAAAACTAATCTAATACTTGTATTTTAATAATAATTAAGATATATCTGTAACTTAATATTGTTCCTACATTTTAAATTTTTTCCCACTTACTTATTATTAACCATGTATATAGTTTTATTACATACTTACATGCCATTGATAGGCTGGATATACCCATTCCATTAGGACCTTTCCATTGAATAGATTGCTTAATAAGGCAACCTGCACTTGCACGCCAAAAGTAATATGTAGAAACTGCTTATTAATTAAACAGCAAAAGTACCAATAATGAAAATAAGAATTAATATATAGAACACCAAATTCTCATGCATATATCTAAAAAATAAATTATGTATAAAATTTGTAACTAAATAATACTTTTAACAAGTGCTATGTATAGTTTAACTCGTGTTTTAGTTTTAAATATAAGGGTATCCCTTGCCTTAAAAAAATAATTATGGAAAGAAAAAGAAGTAGCAGTCATTTGTATTTCTACATTCCAAAAAAAAAAAAACCTAAAGATACTCCTTTTAGTCTATAATATAGAGCATTATTGGTAATTAATTACTATTCCACAGTTCTAGAAAAATTAGTTAAAATCTTAGTTTTTAAAAAAGATTTTACATCTTTTTAATTATATACATTCTTTAAAAACTATTCAATATCATTTATTTTAGACTAAAAAGAACTTTTAATTAAAAACTGCCCTGTATTATGGATTGGGGGTTTTATTTAATTTTTAATAATGATAATAAAACTATACAAGGTTTAGACTTAGACTTTATAGAGTATAACACTACAAGTAAAGTAAATAAATTAAACATTGATGTTTCAAGCTTATAAATTTTTCAAGGAGTAGGGTCCACTAAAATACTAATTTCATGGAGGTCATGCTTGTCATTTGCAACTTTGCAGTAAATGCATATAAATGCGAGAATTATTACTACTACTAAATTACAATTTTACAAACAACGTTTAGCCAAACACACACACACAAAATAAAACTAAGTTTATAGAAAATCAGCTTAACCCTCCAAACCAAACGTTTAGCCAAACACACAATAATCAAGAAAATTACAACCGATGAGATTGAATTTAGTTACCTTGGACAAAGGCTCATGATTATGACGATGGCCATCATCATCATCTGGAGCAGCAAAATCAAGCAATTCGAGAGCGGCAATGGCTCCTGCCACTGCTCCTTTCCCAGCTCCATCAAGCATCCCTGCTTCTGATCTCTGTCCCTTCATCCCTCCCACTATTGTCCCCATTATTGACCCTCCTGTGCATCACTATCCTCGCTAAGACTAACCCATCCTCGTTCCCAAACAAGTCTCCAAACATCACATACAGAAAGAGAGAGAGACATACCTAGTGCGAGAATGCAAGTGAATGCTGCGAAACCAACTCGTTCCAGAACTTTCATGAACATTCCAACACACACACAAACAATCTCCTTACGCCTTGTTAAGAACAATGCTGCTGCTTCTTCCATCTTCCCGAACCAACCGCACCACTCTGTAAATTAGGGTTAGCTATGGAGAGAAATAGCTCCAAGTAAGTCGGTCTTGAGTACTGCCTTGGAACAAATGGAGCTATATATAGCTAGCTTGATATCCTTCAGCATTTATACATCGATGAGGAAGACATGCCACGTCAGCTTGCTTGCTAGCGTCTAAAGCATATTGCTACAGTCATGATGGAATGTTAATGAGTGCGTGCGTGCGTGTGAGATAGCTAGGGCATAGTGGTGAATCAGCGATTACGTGTATGACTCTCGCAAAGTAGATGGAAATAAAGGCCACATGGTTATATTAATTATTTTCGAATAAGAATTGATTAATGTCCAGAAGCACTGAACTCTTGTTGAAGCATTAAATGGTTGAATAATAATAAATGTATCGCCAATGTTTTTGAAAAAGATCTGTAACAATTTTCACCTCATATATTTGATTTTAGAGTCACAGCGATACTCTGACAGAATTCAAAGGAGAAAAACATTATATTAATACTCTCTCCGGAACTTATAAACACCTCTAAGCACTTTACTAGAATTAAAAAGATATTCTTAAATCATTCATTTTGTCTAATATTTTTTATTTCAATTTTATCCATACTAAAATAAAACATTTTTAAATTTATATTATAGTGTCTGTCATAATTATTAAGTTTAAATAGAGGTAATATTAAAAAGTGTATTTAATACCTCATATTAAGGCTTAAAAAATCTATCCAGAAAAAATCCTATAATAGAATGGGGACTGATATAAGGGGAGAGCAGAAACAGCGGCGCCACGCACGGTGGTTTAGAACAATGGTTTTTCCTTTTTCTCTGTTTTACTGGTTCAAAAGAAGCTGTGACGGATTGCAATAAAGGAACTAATAAGTGAGCTTTGTTCTTAAACTTTTAAATTAAATAACATATAGTACTACAATAAAAAACTTCATAAGTATGTGCTAATTAATTCGACAGTTGGTTTAAATTTTCACCGTGATCAAGACCAGGTGATGTCACCTGATCAGCATGGAGGTAATTATTTGTTAATTAACACTGTAATTATTCATTATGAAAAGATTTTGCTCATCAGAGGAGTCTTTGGGGAATAAATTATTGATGAATAAAGAACTCAAACGATAGCACTAAACAGTAGTCCAGAGACTTTGAAGTTTGAATTATTAATGCAAGGCTCAAAAATCAAATTTCCCTGTTGATGAACTCGAACTAGCTAGCTATGAGCTATCTACACGTCCGTACGAAAAGTTATATATAATTTCACAATGAGAGGTTGAATCAGTTGTGATTGGTGAAACTAGTCCAAATTTGTCCGCAATGCCATGCTAGCTCAACCACTAGTGTACCTACATTCCAATATAATTCCAACACATAGAGAAGAAATATATATTGAGGCATGGATATAGAGTAGAAGAAGGAATTAAGGAGAACTAAACCTAGCTAATTGATGACTAACAGGGTTCTAGCTTTGTAGATGAGTGTGTTAATGGTGGTTGAGCTTCCTAGTAATAAATGAGACATGGTGAATTCAATGCTAAAAGTGAAGTGTCACTGCGTGAGACAAAAGACAGAACCAGGAAATTATAAGCCAAAACTAGGTGCTGGAAACTGGAAACTTTGCTTTCTTTTCCTTAGTTTTCTGTGGGCTGCGAGATATATAAATCATGTGTGTGTACTGTGTAGAGAATATAATTTCAAATAATCAATAAGAGAGTGTGGTTTAGTCACATCAATTCTGGGTAGATGTGGAGTTTCATATTTATGCTTATTACTACACGTCACCTTTCACCTGTTCACCAATGTGCCTTGTACATGTGCTCGTTTTTAACAATGGATGATCTTTTAATCTCTAAGTGTGCGTTTGGTTTTCAGTTTGTCAAAAGTTTATTTGGTGAAAGTTCATTTAAAGAAAGTCAGTTTAATAAAAGTCAGTTGTTGTAACGAAATTTATGTTTGGATATATTTTTTCAAAAGTCAGTTTGATACATTGAAAGTTGTTTGGTTTGTGATAGTGAAATATGCTTTTGAATGTACAATTACCAAAAAGAACATTAATTTATAATGATTTATAATTTTTATTATACAAATGTAATATATTCAAAATATTTAAAAAATATAATAAAGATTATAAATAACATAAATTTTGATCTATAATGTTAAAAATTTGATCTCTAATTATTTGTATTTTTTAATTTGTAATTTTAAAAGATGTAATAAAGATTTGTAATTTTTATTATACATTAATGCTAAAAATTAACATGATTAATTACTCAATTTATAATACTAAAAAAATTGATACCTAATTATTATTATTAAAATAATAATTATATTTTTAATGAATTAACTATTTTTTAAATAAAAAAATAAGAGATTAAATTTAGAGTACTATGGTCAAATAACATCCTACTTTTCAAATCCACTTTTCAAAAGCTTCAGATAGTTACGTTTCAGAAATTCACTTTCAGCTACTGTTTGAATGTACTTTTAGGATGTGCTTTTCTACCAAATATTTTACCCAAACAACTTTCAACTTTCTGAAAGTAAAATTTTGCTTTCTGAACGTGAAACGGAGGAAAACTAAACGCACCCTAAATTTTCTCTTAGTTATTAATTTATTCTCTAAACTTTAATTTAGTATAGCTTATTTAGTAAAAATATTTATATAAGGAAGCTATTGATCTTTTCTCTTGTAAATTAATTAATGTTACGATCTTAATTGTAGTAGTGTGATATTAGAAATATATGATAATCTTATTTATGTTGTTTTGATTAGTAAGTTCTTATCACTCATTTGGTAGAAAGTTATAGGAACAAATAGCTTTTTGCATATAATTTGAAATTACAAAAAGAATTAGTGAAATGAATTTTGTTTGACCAGCCACTTTTAAAATGAATAAAAAATTAAACCTAACTAGCTTTAATGAAAATTGTATGATATATAATTTATAAATTAACTAGAGCATACCGCGCCTCTATAAAAATTTCGTCTTAGATCTCCAAACTTTTTCACACGATCTTGTAATTCAGTCTTTATTGTATTTTTTTGAATTAAGGATTTATATAAAGATTAAATTTTACTGAGTTAAGAAATTATAGAGGCAAAGTTATTCCAAAAAAAAAAAACCATAGCCATTAAATTGTTTTTAATTAAAGGTGCAGGGACTTCATCGATAATTGAAAAAAATTTAAGGATTAAAAATTATATATATATATACACACACAATTATGAAGTTGACTTGATTAGCGTGTGAAGGATAAGTTCAATTTCCCTTAGAATTATAATTAGTCGGAAATTAAAGTTGTGGCTTGTGGTGATAGAATTTCTAAAGCAGCCCATTTTTTAATTGTAAGCATGATTTTGTTTTCTTTATGTAATTGTAACCTCTGGATTTTCATTTGACCATTTTGGAATGAGATCGCTGCAAGCTAAGATCTCCTTAGGAAAACGTGGTGCGAAGCTCTAATTAATATCCCCCCAAATTCAAATGTAAAATATTTTAATTAATTTTTATTTTTTAATAAAATAATTACTTATTTTTAAATTAATTTTATCCTTTTATATTTATTTTTATTAAATATTCTATAATAAATATAAAATTATTATCACTAGAGATACTTTTTTTAAAAAAGTAATGATTATACGTTGAAAGATTAAAAACATTTTACATTTTTTAACATTCAACTTCTCAAAAAATACCTTATATTTTTTAATAAAGGGAGTAATATTTTTAATTAAAAAAAGAAGAATAATCAGAAGGAGGAAATGTTTTCTTTTTTAATATCAAACCACGCTTAGCATCTGTAAATCATATTGGACTCCAATTAATTCGAATTAGGTTGAGAAGAATCCCAACTCCGAAGGATGACAGAACTCTTCTAATAAATATAAGGAAGTAGTTTTTTTAAATCGATTATCATTGGCTTGATTAATAAATCAAATTTTAAAACATAGATAATTGGGATGCCGTAGTCCTCTTTATTATATTTTTAATTAAAATACATAAATTTATAAATTTTAATTAAAATATACTATATTTGTAATTGCGTAAAAAATAAAAAACTTGAAGCGTTCAAATTTTTATTATATATATGCGCTATAATTTCTTTAAAATATAGTTATAAAAATTATGGATAGAATAATTGATGAAAGTTGACAATTCTAAAATCACCTAGAAATTTTAATTTAATGGTGAATCTAAAAATGCATGAATATATGGTTTTAGAAATAAAATAAAAATTAAACAAATTATAAATTTGTACCTGAAAATACCATTGATGTCCCTGGGAATTCATATAATTCAAAGTAATCTTTTTCGTAAATATTTTTTGTCACCCAATAATATAGATAAGGGTGTGGTCCGTGTGGAGCCATCAAAAATTGTAAACGTGTTCCCATAATATTGAAATAATTTATTTATTTTAGAAAACAACTAGAGACAAAAATTTGGTGAGATGGCGAAGAAAAACAAGAAGATTGTTTGTTGGGCCGGGTGAATAATCAAAGGAATTATAATGAATATTTGACTTGAACGCAAGCTTACAATGACAAAAAGTCATCATTTATTTATATTTTATTATTATTGTTATTATCTCGTGCCAAATTAATAATGGTGGACATCTCACCAACCAATGCTAGCTAGTCACCCTTATAATAGTGAGTTGAAATAAGGAGAAAAACAGAAATTAACATGGTTTTGAAATTTAAAAAAAATATAATAATTAAATAGGAACTTAAATATAAATAAATGGAGGGATAATGAAGTGATTATAACATTTCTCTCTTTTGCGCCTAATCTTTTTGCTATTTACAACTGAGCGGTGACACTTGTAGCTGAGTTTTTAGAATCTGTAAAAAATTTCATAATTTGCAACTCATTTGTAACTAATTTTTCAAGATTTGCAAACGAGCTTTCACCACTTGGAATTTATCTTACACATTTTGCAACTAAGCTGCGTGTCATTTACATATGTGGAACATATTTTTGTTAATTCACTAGCTTCTTTTTAAAACTTTGGTTCTTTTATGAAATTTTGAAAATTTGGTTGTGGTTTTTTAAAATATTTAATTCCCTCCTCCAGTCTCTATTTGTCATTATTTTTTCATTATTTGAAATTTCATCAGGAGAAGTTTCTCAAAGGCCATTGCCTAAATAATCTAACCATATGGCCACGGCCAGGTTTACATTTAACAGTAATTGCAATTTATATATAGCACTTAGATACAATTAATTAAAATTTAAAATTCAAAGGTTAATTTTGTCTTAATTTTTTAGGACATTTATTAATATTATAATTGTAAAAAATTAAGTTTCTCAATATAACTCAATGCTAACCTTTTTTTATTTATTTATTGAAACAGATAACTTTGTTGGTATTATGAAGATCATGATACACATGTGAAACAAATGAAAGATGGTGATATTGTGATATCTCATTCATGCTTCTTGAATGAAAATGATGCATTTATAAGATATGAAATAAAAGACAACCAATTGAATAGAAATGTCAATGGTAACTTTTTAACAGTCTTTTAGTTTAAGATATTAGAGGAAATTAAACACTATAAAACAAATTTCATGTATGACCTGGTTATAAAGATTGGCTATGAAGATGGAACAGAATGAAGCAATATGTTATAAGGGAGAATTTTAATAACTTACATTAATAAAACTTTAATGTTGTTTGAAGTTCTTCTATCTAAAACTTCTCCTTTACATTATTAACTTGCTTTAACCAAAAGAACTCATACTCACAACTTTATTAAATTATTTTAATCTAATGGTTAGAAAATCAAACGAAAGGAAAGGAAGATAGAACCCTTACCTATGTTTATATTTTTAAGACTAAAATATAAATAGCTCTCCCGAAGTTTAGGTATTTTACACATCACCATCCTAAGTTTAAACCTAGCCCCGTTAACTATCAGATTTTGACAATAAATCCCTTCTTGTTAAATCATTTTTCTTGACCATCATGTTCCGTTATTTTACCAAAAATTGATGAGATAAGGCTCCTGGAATGGGGCACACATGGAAAAATTTCATTATCCTTTTCTCTTAAAGTTTGAATAATGTCAATAATATATCACAACTTTATTTAAACAATTGTAATTTTAATTCGATAAAGTATAAAACTTAAATAAAAAATCATAACTTCTCACATAAACTTTTTATTATTATTCAAGTTTAAATTTTAAAAATAATCAATCAAAAACTTTGTTTAAGTAATAAAAATTTTTATTATATAAATATTAAGAATTACATAAAAAATTATAAATTTTTATATAAGTTTTTTTATCATTGAAATCTAAATTCTCAAAATAATTAGTTACAATTTTTATTTTATAAATTATAAAAATTTAATAAGAAATCATAATTTTTTACATGAATCTGTTATTTTTTTTAAATAAAAAATAATTTAATTATTTAATTTAAAATTATTAAATATATGATGAATTTTAAAAAATTATAATATTTTTATCATTTTTTCCTAAAAAATCAGTCAAATCTGGCAAAAAATAAAAATGAAGATTTTGCTGGTCACACGCACATGGGCCAGGCAGAGTATGTGGCAAATGGGAATGGTGCCGTGAATAAAAATAGCGCTTGGAGATGCGCTCTCTTTTGTCGCCTGCTAGAAACTATGGATTCCCCTTATCCCCGACTTGTCCTTTCACTTCCCTTGTTCTCTTTCCCCAAAACGCGTCTTCATTTCACCAAAAATGCAGGGCCATTTTGTAATTGAACTTACTTTTTCTTATTAAAGAATAATAATAAACAAATGGTTTTCCTCGGGGACACGGCTATCACTATGGATCTTGGCTTCTTAGCATCTGGCCTACGAATTTTAAATGAATGTATGAAGAAGAAATTTTTCTTTATCATTTTCTATAATTCTAAATTTTTGTTTGTAATTTTTGAACATTTACAAGTGGAAGTACATCTATGATGGCATCAAGGGTTGAAGAGCTAAGTTGACCGGAACCAAAACAAAAAAAAAAACAAAAGGAAAAAGGTTGAAGAGTTAAGAAATTAGAAAGAATATTTGAGCTATTAAAATTCATTTAGTTTAATTCTTTTGTTTATTTTTATTGAAATTTCATTTTCACTTTTCGTATATTTTATTGATTTAGTATTTTAAGTTTTAATATTCTATTATGAGTTTTTAGGCTTAAGTTTTTTATAAGGTTTTCATACTAAGATTTTTAGAGAGTGTTAGTTAAATTAAGAGTTTTTTTATTTCTTTAAGTACTGTTTATATATAAATAATGGCATAGAAAGAGCAGATGAAATAAAGAAATCATTTTTTTTAACAAGCCTCCCATATTTATCAACTTCCTTTGGGGTAATCATAGCATTAAAAGTTTTTTGTTTAAGAGATCCTGGGCGTAATTTCAATTTTTTGTGTGAATATTTTTAATTAATGTGTTCCCTATTCAAATTGTCATGTAAGTTTTCGTATCAATTTTTTTTATAATTTTTGAAATTATTTTCTATAATTTTTTAATTAATTAATGGTTGAAGTTAATTTTTATAAATTATAGAAGTAATGTTGCATTATTTTTAAAAATTAAGAAAAAATATTATACAAAAAACGAGTCTAAAGTTCAAAACATTCTTAAACTTATAATTTAAGGGTAAAAATTAAAATTGTTCTTTAACCCTAAAAATAATATAAATAATAATTTGACCCTTGATTGAATCATTAATGCTCAAATTAATGTCTTAATTAGTTCAATAACTGATTCGTAATTTTAAACAAGTATAAAATAACAAAAAAAATTATTTTAAAATTTTAATTTGTGTAAGGATAATAATTTACACGAGGATAAGACATCTTAAAATAGCATGTTGGCAAAAAAAAAAAGACATCTTAAAATAGCAATTTAAGTTTTAGCCCAATAAACGGTAATTTTGGAAGCCCGGCGTGGCTAATATGGTAATTGTGCATATTGTAATGTTTAAGATTAAGCCGGATCCGATCCGATAGCTAGGTTTCGAAAGCAAAGCGGGGCAGGTCAAACGCTGTCAAATAGTGCCTCGCAGACTCGCAAAGAAAACACAGAGATGGCGTGGCGTGTTGTCAACTCCTTCAGCGCCCCGGCTATCGGCGCCGGCGTTTTGCTCAACCGGTCACATTTACCCGCCGAAGTGGGAACTGCCTTGGTCTCCGGTTCCATCTTTCGCCGATCCTCTTCTTCCAACCGCTCCCTGCGCTTGTTTTGCACGGCCATTCCCCCTCATTCCTGTATGTTTCGATCTTCCCCCTTTTTTTTAATTTCTTTTCTTATTGGTAACTCGCTGTTTACTTTGGGAAACTGTGGTGAAACGATCTCATTCTGTCTTAGTTTCTCTAAAATGTATTAGAAGCCGCCTATTGGAGCGGCTGAGAATTTTAAGATTTTGGATTGGGATTTTAATATTTTAAAGTGGAAGTTGAGGACAGGGCAGAAGCTGTTCTAACACCAGGTCAATGAACGAAATGAGCAGAAAAATCTTTTTTATTGCATGCTTACAGGAAATTAGTCAGTTGATACTACTTTTCATGCATTAAGCACAGTTAACTGGGCCTTCCTGTTACTATTTTTATTCACCATTTTGCTAAAACTAATTTTCAAATTTCATTGAGTGTTTTTTTGGACGCTGTGATACATTTTGTTAGCAATCCGCTAGGGCCGAGGCCAACTTTCCTGTAAGTCGTGCTGGTACTGATAGTTTGGTGCTAAGCCTGACCCTTGGTACTTGTCCCTGGCTCCTTGTGAATCCCCATAAACATGCCAACTTGGCGCTGAATAAATTTCCTAACACTTGGGTGCTTTGAAAAGAGGATGGGGATAAAAGTGTAGCTAAATATTTATGGATGTGTTGTGTTCCTAAAAGTTAAACAAAGCTTGCCATTGGGTGGAACGTATAAGATTTTTTTTTGACTAGATGACAAGGGAATAAGATTTTGCTTTTGTATAATTAATTATATCATAGCCGTTGCCACCAATGCCATATCATCACTTGCCAAAACCTCAAGTTATATTTGCAGTCACGCTGATACATGATTTTTCCTTGAAGTTGGTTGTTGGTGATAATTATTTTCCTTTAGATCTTTCTTTAGTTCATGTACTACTGCCAAGATTATCAAATCAGTGGTCTCTCAGTAGAAACTGGCAATTTGGCTTGTGCTAAATTCAATGTAGGATATGTAAGCATGGTGGTGCATAAAATCATTGCAGAAGAATTGAGTGCCCTTCAATAGGTTTTCATGATCACAGAGCAAACTGAAATTATCCGTAATTGCTTAGGCTTTAAGCTGAAGTATATGTTTTGGCCCTTGTTCATATTCATCCTAAAAATTAGGAAAGAGGGAGATCGAGAGAACTTTCTTGTTCGCACCAAACACCTACATTGTCATTATTATTTATTTTCATTGACTGTAGGTGTCAAGGAAGCCATTCAAACTGAAAAGGCTCCAGCTGCACTGGGCCCATATTCTCAAGCAATCAAAGCCAAGAACCTTTTGTTTGTCTCTGGTGTTCTTGGTCTTGTTCCTGAGGTTTGCAACTGACCATTAGAACTTTGTTTATTGCTTCAGTTTTCCAATCTCTCAGCATCTACGTACACGTTTGTTGGCTGTGTTGAAACACTATCGTGATATGTGTGTGGTGCTTAAATGCAGACAGGGAAGTTTATCTCTGACAATGTTGAAGAACAAACTGAACAGGTAAAGATACCACTGAACTAGCAACATGACTTTTTATCTCTCTCAAATTTTGTAGTTATGATGTATTTTCTATTCGTGGTACATATTGGCTTTGATTCCTCATTTGTGGCATAATTTTCCTTCACTCCATTCAACAATACGTGCTATTCATCCTTTTCTTGGTATCAGGAATCAAGATGCTTCTTATTCAAGGAATGCTGCAATAGTAGTAACTGGAGGTTGGGCTTAACTTGTGGTTTACTATGACTAGATTTTGATTTGGTTATCCAGACAGACTCACTCCTTGCTATAAGCTAGTAAAAAATTTGAGGTGAAAGTTGGCCCTCTAAATTGTAACAGTGCTTAATGATTTAGCTTTTGCATCTTTGAAACTTTTTACGGGGGACACAGCTAAACTGGTTGAGATATACTACTAGTGTTGATGGTTGACTTGAGCCCATGATCATTCCACTATGTAAGAGAGGAAAATAGAAGCTACCGGACAAATTATCTGTTTTAGGATTCTATGCTATGATGGCTTATTTTTGAAAGCACACATCCTATAGATATTATGGCTGATATTTTTGGCAATTTTAAATTGCAGGTTTTAAAAAATATGGGGGAAATTCTTAAGGCTGGTGGGGCAAGCTACTCATCAGTTGTTAAGACAACAATTATGTATGAAGTCTAATCTTTTCCACAGCGTGGATTGTTTTCAATGCCATTGCCAGGTGCAAGGTGACTAGTTATTTATCATTTAACACCTGCAGGTTGGCTGACTTGAACGACTTCAAGAAAGTAAACGAGATCTATGCTAAATGTAAGTTCTGTCTGCAATTTAGATATTTCATGACCTATACATTATTGTGTCAATCATGCAACAAATTGCTTAGGTGTCAACTGTCAAGATGATTGCCAACCTGTGCAAGTCTTAAAGTTTAGCATTGTGTATTTAATTTTTAATACATTCCATTGCTGACTATTTATATTCTGATATATAAATTGGTGCTGCTTCATTCCTAGGCAGATCAAGCGTTCATGCATGCATCTTGTCTCCCCAGCTTTTATCTTGAAAATCCATCACCATCATCTTCTCTAGTTGAAGCTCCATTTTCTAGCTTGTGTCATAATTTATAATATATTTGAGGGTGACATTTAAATTGATGCAAGAGCATCCTGTCATTGAATATGCTGAGTCTGTGTGATTTTCCGTGATAATTACTATTCTTTCATCTTTCAGTTGTCACATTAGGGAATTTGTTTAGGATTTATACGTCAGTGGCTTCAATACTCATCATTTCCATGTGTCCGTAATGGTTACACAGACTTCTCTTCGCCCGCCCCGGCTCGTTCAACATATCAAGTAGCTGCCTTGCCACTGGGTGCCAAGATTGAAATCGAGTGCATAGCAGCACTATGAACATCATCTTTTTCAGATATGTGGCTTCTTCATCAGTCTAAGGCTCCAATAATGCAGTCCAAGAATTGGAAGTTTTACTTTGGTTTGTTCCCCTTGAATGGTGGTGCTGTTACCATTATGAAATAATTCCTGCTTTTAGCTTTGCAATTTTGTATCACTTGTCTTGGGCTATCTTTTAATGTCTATGATCTATTACAAATGAGATCTTGTTTACCTTGAGGCACTCTGCGTTATTAGATTTCTGTCCTTAAGAAGGAATAAATATATATTTTTTAATTTCTCATATCCTTAGCTTATTCCTTTTCAAAATTTTGTTGTCACATGTACTTTCGTAAGAAAAATTAAACATGTGCTGTAATGAATCATCCTACAAGTTATTTTATGATATTATTTATAAATTATAATTATAATAATTATAAATTAAGCAAATAGTATATTCTATGTTATAATAATATTTATCAATCTTTTGGACATGTATTAAGAGTAATACAATGACTAAGAAAAGATTAAGCATGCAGTGAAAAATAAATTTATTAACATTATATATTTAACTTGAAGCACATAATTACTTGAACGTGTTTCATTGGTTTTCAAATTATAAGCTACATTTACATATAAAAAATAAAAAATAGTTTTTTTAGTAAGAAAAAATAGATTTTCTACCTTGTACATTTGAAATGTATGAACAAAAATTTGTTCTATTCTCAAACAAACTATTTTATGATTTATGACTTTGTGTTAATAATAAATATACAGTAAATATTTTTATCTAAATTGTGTTATTCCTATATAAATTTAAATTTAAACATGTTTTTATCTTATAATTTTTATTTAAAAATAATTTTTTTAAACAACTTGCTTTTTTTCAGAATTTTTTATACTTGTAGACATAAAAACATAAATAACATATCCATTTATATTAAAAATATATATAACAAATCATTCTATCTTTTTTTTAATCAAAATCATTTTATCTTTTTGGTAACAACATATTGTTTTACTTTTACACAAATAACTTGAAAAAATTTGTTACTCTATGCATTTTAAAATACAAAGAATAATTTATTATTTCAAAATGTGTGTTATTTTCACATAGTTAAAAAATATGGATCAAATTTTTAAACATTTGAAAATACAGCCAATTCACATTGTAAAATTGATAGTCAAATTTGTAAATTTTTGGAGTTTGAGATTTAAAACTTAATTTGAATTAACTGATTTTCTAAGACCTCTCAATCATTCTCCCCAAAAATATGATTTCTTGAATAAAAATATGAATTCCTTTCCCAAAAAATTAAAAATATGAATAGTATTTTATTTTATTTTAAATTAAATTGTAGATTTAGATTTTAAATGCATCCTATATCTTAAAGCATTATCATCACCATAATCATCAACATATGTTAACACAGTGTGGTATTAAAAACCGATCTAGATATCCAGTAAAGGATTGAATCAGAATGTTAACTTGGCTCAAAAAAAAACAAAAAAGTATCTTAACCGGTTGAATCAATATCAATTTATGATCATGATCGGTCTAATAACACGTGGGGTTTTCAATACTTATTGTAATATTTGCTCAAACAAAGTACTTATAGTAATGCATACACAACACATCATCACGGAAGGAGCTAGAAGTGCCATTCCTGAAACGGTAACAGTAACAGGCTAGACAAGTTTAAACAGGCTTTAAATAAATCTCATTTATAAATTACATTTTAAAAATTTACTTAATTTTATTTATAAATTATAGTATATCTTTTTAAATAATATTTAAAAAATATTTTTAAAATTAAAAAAAATAACAGAACATTACTTTTTAAATTTATTATATAAGAATATATTTAAAATTTTATAAATTTTTATTTTTTATATTTTTTTATGAATATTGATGAAATTAATAAAAATAATTTACAAAGAGAATCGAAAATAACATCCATCGCCAGTTTTTCAATTACTGTGACACATCAGAACGCAGACATAAAGTCGGATGCCATAAGCCTTTCAATTTTCAATCACCATCGCTCTTGATACCCACAGCCCAAGTTGGTACTTTCGTGAAGTTCTAGCCTTTAGCAATCTTCTTTCCAAGGCTGTGAAAGACAATAAAAGGAGTAAGGTACTATTGTCTCCTCTGTTTATATTCCTTTCGTAAAAAAGATAACTTGGTTGGTATGCCTGATTCTTCGTATTCTTGATTCTAAAGCAATTCCCTTGTACCGCCATAGATCTGGAAATTTCATTGGGCCCCTATTTTTTTTGGGAATTCTTGTCTTGATATTTTTATGCTTGTGGGTGGTTTTAAACTTGGTTTCTGGGTATCTTGCATTCTTGCTGCTCTGGAGCTTGGCTATATATCGTAATTATTACATCTGGGGTTGGTTTTCGCTGTTCAATTCTGCTACATCTTCTTATTTGCATGATTTATCTGTTTCTTTGTTATTGTCATCTCTTTCTTCTACTTCTTCGTTGCTTTCTATATTGAATTTGAATGTGTTTTCTTTTTCAAATTTTCTGGATTTATTTTCGGTCATTGTAACTTTGAAATAGCCGGTTTGCTCCTGCTCTGAGGTGGCTTCTAGTGAGAATATGAATCTTAATTGTGGCACGCTGATATATTGTGGATTTTAGTCTTGCTCATCTCTTATTTAAGCTTATAATAAATGAAAAGCCATCAAAGGTTCGTCATATGGCAGATAAAGAATAAAAGAAGCCATATTATTTGGAGACGTTGGATTCACTCTTTTTTACTATTACAAGGGCTTTTACTCTGCGGTGATTAGATTCCAATGTTTGTGCAACAATACTTCAAATTCCATGGGTCAGATTGGTTTCTTGCCTGAGAACATTGATGGCACAACAAGCTTGGTGTACTGTTTTGTAATTTTAAAGATATGGTTTAGTCTTTCATGATGATAATGATGACGGTGATGAGTTCTTACTCTTACCTTTGGTGTACTGGGACAGAATATATACTTCAGCAGGTAGCCCTAGGGATCTTGTTGATATTTTTATGTTATAAATTATAACTATATATTGGCCAGTGCATTACATTGAGTTTGAAGAACGAGTAACACTATAGATTGTAAGTAGTGTGGCTTATTATAGGTTTTATATTCTATATTGATGATTGCATGACTTATTCTTACATGTAAGTTTTGAACAAGGGTTGTAAATATCTTCAGGATTAGCTACGTCATGGACGTTATTATTGTGAGAAGAGTTATTCCCTCAGATAATAGTTGCCTCTTCAATGCAGTTGGGTAAGCTCTTGGGCAAAAGTTTTCTTTTTTGGTCTTTGATATGCGATATTGGTAGCAATGGTGCCACTTATAATCTGATTCATCTATTCTATGTGTTCATTCCATTTTAGGTATGTTATGGATCATGACAAAACTAAAGCTCCTGAATTGAGACAGGTATTTTTTTTTTCATTCTTTATATTTTCTCAAAATATGCATAGTGAGTACCATGAAAATATTTGAATCTCATTCATCTGGCTTTTGAAATATTGATTGGTTTCCAATATCAGAAGATCAATACCTAGTGGGATAGGCTTATTCTTCTTATTGTTGTTGTTTGTGAGACAGCTTTTACAACTATACATTCATGTTATGGAGGTTTCTCTCTTTTTTTTTTTTTTTATCTATTTGAGACTTAACTTCATAGTGGAAGTCCAAATTTTGTTCCAATCCATTAGAAAATCCTGATGCATTTGTAAGGAGTTGGATGCTGTTATGAAATTTGGTAGCACTTGAATACTGTTTATATTTTCCTAAAAAATGCAGGTTCTGGATTAGTAGAGGGACAAAAATTGTATTAGTTTGAATTCTACTACACCCATAGAATAGTATAAGTTGAGATTTTGACATAATGACATGTATATACCAAACTATATTGCCATATTAGTCATAGCATGAACATATTTCATGGCATGACTTCAACAAAGTTTCAACCATAAAAAAGAAGCAACCATTGTAATTATTTGGGTGGGGAGATATGACCCATATCTGATATAGGACTGGCGAGGTGGAACCCCTGTACCGTCTAATATTTTTCTGTCCACTTTGAGCACATAGTTGACATCTTTTATTTAATATATAAATTTCACCTTGTCCTTTTGTGCTGTTTTAATTTGCCGAAGGTTATAGCTGCAACAGTGGCAAGTGATCCAGAGAAATATTCTGACGCATTTCTTGGAAAGCCAAATGCAGAATATTGTGCCTGGATCCTTGACTCTGAGAAATGGGGAGGTCAGTTCAGCTTGCCTTTCCTGATCATGGTTTCTTAATTCTGAAATATCGAAATACACACGATCACCCATATTATGGCTTGTAGTGTCACCTTACTAGTTGGAGTTCTGCATTTGATGCTCTGTTTGCATTTTTTTGGTTTCATTTATTAATGGTTGTTCCTGGTTTAGTGAATGAAGTGTTAGTAAAGTTTGTATTTTCTCTTGGGCATTTTAGAAATTTCATCTAGAACTGGTTTGAAAAAGCTTTATGTGTGTAATTGCAAAGATGATGTTGTAGTAAGGTTATTATATTTTTTTAAAAAACACTGTATCCCTCTTAAAATATTATCATAAGAGAAATATTATGATTGGAAATATTTAATCCAAGCATATTGAAAATTTTTTCTGATTACTGGAAAAGTTTTGGACTCTTGCAGCATTACATCTATCAGTTTAAAATTCATGAAATAGGTGATTTTTGTTAAAATTCAATGAAGGTCAAATTTTATAATACTGTTTAGGTTTGGACAATCAATTAAAAGTTCTGTAAACTTCAGGTGTTGCATTTTTTACCCAAGAGTTATGATGAAAATATTGTGGGTGGATCCAGATTTTGCAGCTGAAGAGATTAGCATAAATTCTTGTTTACATTTTAAAGTTTCATTGCTTATGTAGTAGGAACTAGTAAATGCAGTATTATTAATGCCATCAATTCGCTGGAGCTTCAGTATGCTTATTTGGCCACTTTACTTCCCTTTGTGAAGGTGCAATTGAGCTTGCCATATTAGCGGATTATTATGGACGTGAAATCGGAGCATATGATATCCAAACAACGCGATGCGATGTGTATGGTCAGGTTAGCCTTTCATTCTCAGTCTACATCCTTCCTAGTAACTTCCTATAACAAATTTTTCACTCTCTTCTTCTGTGAATGCTTATGACAGGACCAAAAGTATTCTGAAAGGGTCATGCTGATTTATGATGGTCTCCATTATGACGCATTAGCTGTATGTCCTTTCATGCATCTTATATTTTGTTCCTTTATATTTTTTATTTATCAACACTTTGGTTTTATTATCAAAATGCTTGATATCAATTTCTCCAACAAAAGCACAACATGTAGATATTTCTTATATCTTGACATCACTTTTTTTTGTTGTACCAAATGTTTATGTTGTAGATTTATTCTTTCTATGTGAAACCTTATCTATCTACCACACATAATATGCATGCACACTGACAGATCAAGGTTCGCGAGGATCTTACATTTTTTATGGTTTCTGATGATTATGCTCTGTATGGTTCAGGTGTCTCCCTCTGTGGGGGCCCCTGAGGAGTTTGATCAGACCATATTTGTTGTCCAGAGAGACAGAAGCATTGGACGTGTTGAGAGGCTTGCTCTTGATTTTGTTAGGGACCAACAAAGGTTTGTCTACAGTCTTTCATTCTCTTATAGAGACTTAATGTCAAAGGAATCTTGTATATGAGGAAAGATCTGGATATCAGCATGTTCAAATAATTGAAATATATTAATCTTCATTTTCTTTTGGTTGTTCGATGGCAGCTTTTTTCTGGATTTTCTGTAACTATAGCATCTTCAATGACCATGCATACCAGATACAAGAATCATGATATTAAGAAATTTCAGAAGTTTTCTTTGACATATATGTTGGAAATGTTCTGTTTGGCTTTGCAAGATCTTATCAGAATGACTTCTGCTTCCATTATTCTTGTAAATGAGAAGTTTTGGTAAACTTACCTTACCAAAGATGTGTCTAGAGCAAGTCATTCATAAAAAGACTTGTCATTTTCTTAGTATGTTTATGTGATGCAACACGCTCTTAAAAATGCTTCTTGTATTGTAATCTGTGTTTAGGAAACGAAGCTATACCGACACCGCCAACTTCACTCTCCGCTGTGGGGTATGCCAAATCGGTGTAGTTGGTCAGAAGGTACTGACATGATTCTTTGCTTTGTATTCCATTTGCATACCAAATACGTGTTTACCGGGTCAAGTTTCTCTCCTTTTCTTTTGGCCCTGCCCCCTCCAGATGCACAGAAGAATCAGTGTGTCTGAAGGGGACAAGCGACAAGACCATTTGATTTGGGGGTAACCTAAACCCGTGTTTGTTCTTCATTTCTGAACACGGATTTTCACTGTGATTCTCTATATATAATCAGGAGGCAATGGAGCACGCACGAGCAACAGGTCATGCTAACTTTCAAGAATATAGATGATGATATATTGCTTGTTGCTCTTGTGAAGTGCAAATTCACAGATGTTGACCTCACTTGATCTGGCTTCACGTATTACTAGTTGTTGTGACTTGTGAATGTTCGGTCCCAGTTTTTACTCCTCCGTGCAAACATGTTGGTATTTCCCGTGAAAATATCATTGCACAACTATGTTTTTCCTCATTCGTTGGAAAATAAAAGAAGTTAAATGTGTGACAATTTTTTTTTTCTGGGTGAGATCAGAAATATTGGGTGGTGATATCTTGGCCCAACTACATTGGGTCAAGCCGAGCTGAGTAAAAATGATAATTCGGGGACCTGATTTTGGCACTGGGCTATTTGGTTAATCTAATTATTTAACCTCGTGGACATCTTCATTATCGAACTACTTGATATCAGATAGCTATATCAAAACTCTATATACATATATATAAGGATCACTATATCAAAAAAATAAAATAAAATAAAGAGTCATGTAGATATTTGATTTTTTTAATAAAATGTGATTTATGAATACTATGTGAAAGTTTTAACTCTATAATATTATTTTATAATTTTTTATCAAATATTTTAAGGCAAATTAAAATTATTTTTAATAATATTGAGTTTCACAACCATTTATGTGAAAGTCTTTTACTTTTAAATATTATTCTATAATTTTATCAATATTAAAAGATTAAAAAAAATCCGAGTTAGCTCAGGCCTAAGCACAAGCTCAACGCGCAGCAATGTGAGTTGTTTTTTGTGCAGTCCATACTCCAAAGGAGAGAAATCTGATGCGTTACTATGTTTTTAAAGTCAGGTTTTCTGGGTTGATTTTTTCTTGATTAACATCTTTATGGTCGTATTAATTGTCCGGATTTTTAAGTATTGATTTCATTTGTTTTATGTTACTAAATATTCCAAATTTTTTATTTTTCTCTGAAAATAATTTAAACATCTCTGAATATCCTAGTCGTATAAGAGAGTATATACCACATGAAAAATATGTGTGTTTAAGTCAACCTTTTCTTTTAAAGCAATTTCCTTTTCGCTTGTAACTTGAAGTGTTATTCAGTCAAAACTTCTGTTTTGGAAAGCAATATTTCTTAATATTCTGTTTTTGCATATTTACAAAATATTCTGCGTATTGGAATATTATCTACAATAAATGGGCTCACTAGCCAAAAAAATCTTATGCCTAAAAAATATGATCAATTTTTTTAAAATCTAAAAATGTAGCCGGTTCACATTAATATACAAATAATTTATATTTAATATACAATGAATTTATCATTAAAAATTTATAAATAGTTTATCATTCATATATAACAATATATTATTAACAAATATAATAAATCAGTCATAATATAAAATATAATAAATGTTGAGTTATTTACTTGGTTTATTTCTATAATATGGGTTATATATACAAAAACTTCTATTGTTTTAAACTGGTTACAATTAATGCAGACCTAATTCTTCTATGTATTTCTTATGTAATGTACAGTGTAATTTACTTTTACTCTCTCTTTTTTTTTCTCTGGAACTTTATACTCTTAGGATAGTACAAATTTTATTAGATGATGCACAACTTATTGTTTCAAATTTTGTTCAAATGACTCACACTCTTTTTGAAAGTTCTAGCTCTAGAACCTAGTTCCACCATTGATTATGACTCAACTGAGATAATTCATCTAATTTAAAATATGGTTAAATGACAAGGTAATACTATACTCTTTTTCAAAATTTTGAAACAATATTAGTCAAAAAATTTAGAGGCACCTCTTGCAATAAAAAAAAAATTACGATATATTTTTACCTTTTAACCCTTTAACATAATGGTGGTGCTGCTCCGACATCTCTCCTTATCAATGCTGATCAGAAACTTCGTGAAAAGATTGGATTATTTTCATTGAATATTCCTTCAAAGAAGCAAGTTTGAGGTAAACAGAATTGAAGTTTATGAGTGTCACAACTCACAAGTTAAAGACAAAGTGTGGCAATTGAAAGCTGAAATTTCCCTAAATGACTATTCCATGAAATATGAACACAATAAATGAGATGATCAGTCAAGTCACAAACTCTACTAATCAAAGCCCAGCCATGACAGTGTTAGCCCTGGTGAATAAATTCATATATTTTGAAAAGCAAACAAGTTTAAATTCATTTTTTTTTTGTTAGCCCTTGCTTTATTAATCAATTATAACTCCTGAAATTCCGTTTTGAAATTCCATTTAATAATTAATTATAGTTTCAAAAATCTATTGTGAGAAAAGCTATTTGAAACTCTATCTGATTATCAATTATTTTGAAACTTTATTTAATAATTAATTTTACCCAACGAAAATTCAAACACACCCCATATAATTGTTAAGTATTTGTTATCAAAATATCCATCAAAATACCAAGAAGTTATACCTTGACAATACTGTTGTTTAGTATAGTTGAGTTGTTAAGATTTAAAAAAAAAAAATTTGAGTTCAATTTTTTTTTAAACTAGAGGGATAGGCACTACCTGAAATTATAAGTAGGATCAAACCTACACCCTCCTATTTATAAAAAAAACTTTTATGTCATTAGACTATGAGGTCATTGCCTATTGAGTTCAATTTTCATTGTAGAAAAATTAACTCGAAGGAAACATTGGCAGTCACAAAAGAATTAATTATTATCCAAAAAAGGAAGTATTGAACTTCAATTTTGCTAAAAAAAATAATTATTTATGATGTGATCTTATAATTATATAGCTAAGAAAGAAAAAAAAATTGCATACAAGTTTTACATAACACAATTAAGTAGTATTCAATCGTGTTGTGTGGACCTCAAAATAATTCTCCCAAAAAAAATCCTGTTTAAATCTTATTTAGATGAATTAGTAAGGCATGCATCGTGTGCACAACATGTGCACCAAAACTAAGTCTTAGAGTGTCAAGAGAATTTTTATTTTTATCCAATTAACGCTGAGAAATTTATTGAAACATGCCTTCTTTTTTTTTTCTCAGGATTTTGGACAAAATGATGAATCTCTCTCTATGTTTTTTTTTGGGTGAACGAAAACAATGAAATTTTTTATATAAATAATTTAAAGAAACATAGGTCACAACACAAGTCATAATTTTTTGTTTGCCGTTTATTCCAATGAAATGAAGTATTGCTTTGCTGGCCAAAACACACACACACACACACACACACACCCGCACGCAAGTCATGAGGCATTGTCATTGGGGTATGTGATTAAAGTAGAGCCGATAATTTAGATTAAGTTCGATGGACCAATTCTAACCCGCCCAAAAAATTTAAATTCAAACTTACAAAAATAATTTTTTATTGTTTGGGCCTATTCGGGCCCCGAATAGGCCTGAAAAAAATCAGGCCAAACCCGATCGGGTTCAGGCTTGGCCCGAATACCCAAATAGAAAAAAATTTAAAAAATATATATATAATATAATAAATATTAATTACTTTTAAAGTTTTATATCATTTTATTCTAAAATATCATATATTTGAGTGTATTACTATAGTTTGAAAAAATAAAAATATTCATATTTTCTTATTTTTATTATTTTTAATCAAATAAAATATCTCAAAATAATAATTTAAATATATTTTAATATTTATTTTTACATTTTAAGACTCAATTTTTTTCAAAAAAGAAGTTGAGTCATATACATCATTTTCTTCTTATCCAAAAAATTATATTTTATATTTTTATAAAATAAAATATTTAATTTTAAATTAAAAATAATTTTAAAAATAAAATTTGGGCATCTACGGATTCCTGGCTCTACTACTAAACAAATATAATAAATAAAATAATATTTTTAAATAATTATTTAATTATTATTAATGTCAGACTTGGTTAAAAATTAAGAATGAACTAAAGTAAATACTCTTTATATATAAGGCTTAAACAATGTAAAAGGTTAAAGAAAAAAATTTAAAAAAATTGTGTTTTACCTAGAATTAAATGATTTTTTATATAATATAATAATGGCTATTTTTTTTCATATTCTTAAAAATAAAAAGTATAGTTTATCCAATAGTTATTAAAAACTTTGAGCTAATCAAGGCAATAATTTTAAATTAGTGGTTTGATCATAGTTGAATTGAGGTTAACTTAATCATAATTAAAATAATATAATTCAATTAAAATTTATAAATATTTTTATATAACCATGATAAGGGCAATATTTAAACAAATAAGACATTAATTTACAAGTAAAGAAAACAGTCATGAATAAATTGCATATAATATAACAAAATAGTAACAGAGCTACTTAATCATAATATAATATAATTTACAAGTAAAAAAAACAGTCATGAATAAATTGCATATAATATAACAATCATAGTTGAATTGAGGTTAACTTAATCATAATTAAAATAATATAATTCAATTAAAATTTATAAATATTTTTATATAACCATGATAAGGGCAATATTTAAACAAATAAGACATTAATTTACAAGTAAAGAAAACAGTCATGAATAAATTGCATATAATATAACAAAATAGTAACAGAGCTACTTAAGTACTTAACTATAAAGTTAATAAGTTATTATTTTTTTATTCCTTTCAAGTTAAAATAATATTTTATGCTCAATAAAATTATTTAAAAATTAAAATTGATTAAAAATAAAGAAAAAATATTTTTTAAAATTTTTTGGATATTCGGGCAGGCCCGAATAAGCCTGAAGCTCGAAGACATTATGGTCGAATTTGGCTATATGGGCTTTTTTAAATGAGTAGGATTCTTTAAGTTTGATCCGAATAAGCCCGGCCTGACCTAAATTACCGGCTCTAGATCAAAGCAACATGACCAACTTATGTTCATTGGTTCGTACAATAATATTTCAATTTAGAAAGGCCAGCTATTTCAGAACAATGTTTTTTATTTTAAATTTATTTCATTGATTAACAAATATTGATCAGCAAACTTGTTAATAAAATTAGTGAAAGTCATAAGTTATGCTATACATGACTTATAACTAGCGCAATTTTTTATAACTTGTGTATTATATATTTCTTTTAATCCTATACTCTTATTCATAAGATCGTGCATGTTAGTCCTTAATGCAAGATTTTGGGATAGTAAAATTTTTTATCTCTTAATTTTATCTCAATTATTAACTTAATTCTTAAAATTTAATTTTTATCAATCAAATCTCTAAAGATTTATAATCTTACACAATTAGTTCTTGTTATTTCCTCTTCAAATCATAAGAACTAGTTGTAAAGCTTAACCAAAGGTCCCTTCGTCACTTGGAGCTTTAGTTGAATTCGGCCAAAAACCAAAAAGTAAAAAATAAAAAATAGAGCTTTAGATGAAAAGGATCTTTAATTCTGACATTCTATTTTATTTTATTTTTTCTTTTATCACATATGTTTTGGCCAACCAACTTCAAAGTTTTTCCGTTTCACACCACATTTTAAAAAAGCAATTTCGCATACTTTACAGCTTAAAAGAGACCAAAGTGAAATTACTTTATCATCCATGTCAAATGTACTTAATTTTAATAATCCAAAAGGCCAACTCCAATGACCCACGCTGAAGTAGATATATTCAATTGGCCAAAAAAACAATTAGTAGAAAATATTCAGATTCAGATTCCCTTTTTTTTTTTTGCTTTTTTTTTTGTGCAGACTCAGAGATTAAACTTAAGCGAGCGAAATTGCTTTTTAATTTTAAAATACCATTTTTTCCATGTGATATTTTCAAATTTATTTTTAAAGTCTTTCGAGCCTCGAATGATATCTTTTTGGAATTATTAGTATATAGTAAAATTAATATAGCTATTGAATTGGACCACATCATAAATTATTCTCATCTACATTGAATGAAATATTTAAATTTAGAGTTGAACCTTAAAATAGAAAACTTGAATCTTTACCAAAATAAAATATTACAATTTTAATTCTTGGTTATCAAGGGAGAGATTCATTTCAGCTCCCATCTCAATTTTTAGATCAATTTTGAATTGCTAAAATTTAGGGAGAATCACATAGACTTGGGAAGGAAATTATACACAGATAATAACCAATAACAGGCTTCATTTAAAAAAAGACAAATTATATCCTCACTTTAACAATATTTTATTTTGTAATGGTTCTTATCTGTGAATAATTATTTTTCCATATCTTTGAATGTGATTCTCCCTAAAGTTTAATACTTTATAAAATTATTGTGATAATAAATAAATAAATAAACAATGGAAATCTATTCAAAGCAATTCATAAGTGTTATGGAAAAAATTTAAAAAAAAACTTTAAAAAATATTTTAATAATAATATTTACTATAATAATTTTATAAAATATTGAAATCTAACTAAATAATTGTTCAAACTTATTATATGATGCTATAGTTATTTCTTAATGGGAAAATAACAAATAACTGCCTCCGAAATAAGAAAATAACAATTTGGTTATGTAAAATATGATAATACATTTTTAAGTGGACTTAATTATCATAAAAGTATGTGATGATATGATAAAAACACTCCTTACCTAAATCACTTTTATCATTTATTAAACAAGATTTGTGAATTTCAGATCTAAAGTTATAAACGAAAAAAATTTTATTTCACTTTGCTAATTGAAGAAAAATGATCAAAGAAGGTTATGAACACTTAAATTACTTCAATCATTTATTAAAGTAGAGTCATTAATTCCAAAACTAAAATTTTAAATAAAAAAAACTTTGTTGCATTTAAAAAAAAGGTGAAAAAAAGTTATGGATGTCCAAATTACTCTAATTATTTATTGAATTAAAATTATAAATTTTAAAATTAAAGGCGAAAACAAAAAATCTTTTCGATACTTTCTTAAAATAAGAGATATTCTTGTCGTCTCATTAAGAACTTCAATTCAATAATCATTAGATGTCTTAGCATTTAGTATTAAACAAGTTCATGGGTCACTCTCCCTTTATAAATAGTTCAAATTTATCCTTTATGTCAATAATCAATTGTCCTAATAATAATAATATCACCTCCTTTTTTAAAAGGGGTTTAGATTCGAATCTAACATTGACGTATTTGTGTGAATCTCCCTTTCCCATGAGGTTAAAATTTAACGAAAAAAATTGATCCGTCAGGAAATGGAGAGGGAAGGAACTAGGAAGCAGACACTCGAGAGAATACACTCCCAGTTTTTTCTTTTCTTCTTCCTCTTATTCTTTTTTATGAAATACTCCAACTTATTTGTAATCCATGTATAGGAGTAAAAATTGAGATCATTCAATTTCACAAAAAGTTCACAGAAGAAGAAAAATTGAAATCCAATAGTGTACAGTACAGGGAGGAGACGAAAAAAGAAGGTTGTAGCCAGCTCTATCACAAACCCAGAACAAGGATCCCCAATATACACAGACCAAAATCCGAGGGCAATCCTTCTGAAATCTCCCTAAAAAATTCCAACCAAATCCACAAGAAAAAGAAGAAGAAGAAGAAGCAGGATTGATCTCGCAGGCCAATTCTCTCCACTCCGTCTCCCTCAAAATCCAAACCCTAAAAGCACTCAATTCACCTCTGGAATACTCTGCAGAGCAGGCCTCCATGGCCGTTGGTTCTGATAAACCTCATATCCATGGCCTCTGTGGCTCATCAACTGCGTCATCACCTGATCCACCCTCAGATCCTTCACCTCCTCCATTTTACTGAGCAGTTGCTCCAACTGCTTCTTCGAGATCTTGATCTTCACCTCCGTTATCTTACCGGAGAAATCGCCCCCGTTCTTAGTCGAATAAACTCCCTCCTTTCCCCTCCCTGCCGCCGCCGCCGCCGCCGGCGTCGTCCAACTCCAGTCCTCGACGTCCTCGGATTCGGCATCGTAGGCACGTTTCTTCGAGGATTGTGGCTTCAAGCAATTTCCCATTGTTGGATCTCACAATGCTTAGGGCTTTCAGTGCGATTTTGCAGAAAGCCAGAGAGATAAAAGAGGCTAAAGAGGAATTCGTGAATGCAAGTAGAGGTTGGGAAATAATATATATACACGCACGTAGAGGAGAGAGAAGGAGTCAAACCTAATATGTGCCACGTAGGACTAAAAACGTCCTACGTGGAAAGTGATGGGAGGTTTGAACTTTCGAACATGGGATTTTAGGTGTGAAAAGGATCCATGAACAGAAACTACCACCATTCCTGCAATTAATGATTTGAACCTTTCTTTTTTTTTTTAACTTTCTTGGATTTTTTTTTCTCTCAACTTTCTTAAAAAAAAATAATTTTTTGATATAATTAATTGATTAATGATTAACAAAAAAATTTTATTTTTGCATAATTTTTAGAATTTATAATGAATTTCATGATTTGGTGATGAAAATGTTCAATTTATCAATAAAAGTGTCATGCATTGGACGCTAAATTTAATAATAATAATATGGTAAAGCGAGTTTTTCAATATTGATATTTCTTATTGTTGAAGCTGCACATCTAAGCGCGTTTGAATATTTTAAACATTTTTATTTAACTACGTTAATATTTTATTAATTGAGTAACAATGGAGAAGTACATCAATAAAAAGTTTAGCCTGTAAGAAAACCAGGGGTTTTCGATGTCTTTTTCAAGTGTGAAAAGGACCTTGACGGGATCTACCATCTGCTATTGAATTTTTTTTAAAACATTTTTTATATATTTTAGCTAACTTTACCTTTTTATATATATATTTAATTGATTGATTGATTGATGAAAAATATATTTTTATAATTTTTAGTTTCAGTATTGTATTAATGAAATAGAGTCTTTAGTTGCAAAAAAGTTGGGTATTTAGAATGTATTTGATGATTTGCTTATGAAAATGTTCAATTTATCAATGAATGTGTGATTCTATTTCAGGAAGTTTCCAAATGTTCTCATTTAGTGAGTGTCTTGTGTGACACTATAAATTGTTGATTTAATCAGATGGTCATTGAAGATATAGGCACAACATATAAAAAGAGCATTAAATTACATATGTACATTTTATTGTACTGTATGTCTTAATTTATTAATTCATATGATTTGGCGAAAAAGATGTTGAAAATGCACCCTCATATAATTGTCCTTTAACTTATTATTTTATTTATTTCTAGTAGTTGAAATGCTTCCTTGTATGTTGATCTTAATCTTGAAACAAAAATAGAGACAAAGTAGTGTGGTGGGGTGACCAAATTAAAGCAAGCAACTAGGAGAGAGAACTTTTTTTCCTTGATATAAAAAGTTTGTGTGAGTTGTGTTTTCAGATTTCATTAGAGCTAGAGAATGCTTTCAAATTAAAAAAATATTTATAAAAACACTAATAAATCATTTATCAATAAAGTTTTCATATCGACAGATCTTAAAATCTTATGAGCGCAAATATTTAATTACACACACTTAGGCCTACACTCTCCCAAGTTGTTAGAAGTGTGAGATATTTTGGTTGGAGGGAGATATTCTTGAATTCCAAACCCAATGGGTGTCAAAATGCATCATTACAATGTGGAACAAGCACTCTTATAATTAGTGCCAGATAAAAATTAATATTTTGATTAAAAGTGAAGAAAATTATGTTGATAATATGCCATTATGTTTTTAGATATATGCAATCAAACATCCTAACAAAACATCAATTTAGAATTTTCAAAAACTCATCACACTTTAGAGAGTGACAAAAAAACCTTTAATCAACTAAAATCAGGGTAAGTAATAGAGACTCTTATTATTTATATATTTATCAATTTAGTTGAGAGATATTTATTCATTACTCTCCATATAAACTTGTAAATTTTTTTTTATTATTAATAGAGCCTATTCCTTGTATTTAATTTAAGGCGCATTAACTTTATTTTCCCTCCACAGCTTTTGCCATGATCTTGTTGGGGTTAAAAAAAGGGAAAAAGAAAAGAAAAGAAAAGGAAAGGAAAGAGGAATATAGGTGTGAAAAGGGGCAAGAGGTGGGATCTGGGAAGACGAATGAAAGTAAAGTGTGAACGCGTCAACCAAAGGAATCTGATAAGTGAAAAGTTTTGTGCTCTTGCAAGGCTGTAACGCTCTCTCTTTTCACGTGCCACTTCTGCTGACCATTCACTGCCTCTTCTCATTTAAACCCTTTTTTAAATTAAGTATAAGCCTTTTTATATTCTCCATCCATCTTTTTCTTTTTCTTTTTCAAAATTTAAATTCAAAAGTTAACTACATTTTCTAACACAAGCTCTATAATTAAATATAAGGATCTTTTATCAATGAAACTGGATCTAGTTCATCATAAAGTGGTAAACCAAATTTTAAATTTCTATTAAGAGATATACTTATATTTAATATCTGAATATGTTTTGAATAAAATTACTTCCAATAATAGGATACATGTAATATATATATATATATATATACAAAAGTATCTTTTAAATACTCCCTCCATTAAAAAATATAATACATTTTTTGAGGAGTTAGATATTTAAAAATGTAAGGCATTTTTAATCTTTCGAAGTGTAATCATTGTCTTTTTTTTCAAAGTGCACTTATTGACAGTGACTTTATATTTATTATAGGGTATTTAATAGGAGTAAATATGAAAAGATAAGGTTAGTTTAAAAGTAAGTAATCACTTTATTGAAAGTAAGATTCAGTTAAAAATGCCTTATATTTTTAAACGAAGGAAGTATATCTAAATGATGTAGGTTATATAAATATTTCTTATATTTATCTAAAAAAGTATAGTAAATTAAACTCTACTCTCGTGCATTGTTTAGCTGGAAACAAATAAAAGAAATTTCTTCTTTCATAAAAATTAACATATACAATATTTATTATGTTTTTTTTTGGTAATCTAATATTTGTTATATTTTTGTTATTATTACAACACAATAAGTGAATAACTATATTTATTATATGAAAGATTTTTTATATTTTTACGAAAGTATTTTTCTCATTTCATTCAAACTTACATCATAATGAAAATTAACTGAATAGTATTATATATATAATCAAGTATATAACATGGCTAATATTATAAAGTTAATTTCTTTCACGAATATCCTTAAAAAATTATATATAAATTCACCCTCAAAATAACGAAAATAAAAAACCTACACACAGGTTTCAAAATATAAAAATTAGAAAACATACTCTTAAAAAATTAAAAATATATCAAAAAATGTCACAATAAAAATGTATTGGTAAAATAATTACAAAAGATTCATGTCCATATAGTATATATTTCCTTTGTTTAAAAATATAAGGTTTTTTTTTAAGAGTTAAATGTTTAAAAATATAAGGCATTTTTAATTTTTTGAGATATAATTAATATTTTTTTTAAAGTGTCTCTATTGATAGTAACTTTATATTTATTATAAGGTGTTTAGTAGGAATAAATATAAAAAAAATAAAATTAATTTAAAAATAAATAATTATGTTATTAAAAGGGGAGATTTAATTAAAAAAGTAGTTGATACTCGATAGGTTTGGTTGGTGAATGGTCCCCATCACAACATCCAATTTCATGTGCGCGTCCCACTATGCAAATAGGCTATATTTTTAATTATCTAAATAAATTTTCGAATCCAGATTCATCATCAGATCCAATTTCCAAACGCACCGGATCTTACTTAAATTTGCTCCTAAGGGCATTTTGCTCGAATATAATAATGTTTCTATTTTATTCGTATTTAAATTTAATATAACTTGTTTAATTTTTTAAAATTTTCTGTAGAACCCATGCCCTAAAGATCAATCACGTAATTATATAATGATCGACATTTAAACACTACTTAGAGCCAATAATTCGAGCTTAACTTGACATGACAACATGTTTAAACCCTTAAAATTCTAGGGTTGCTAGGCGAGAAAATTACAATATTTTTTGTATAATTAAGTTATTTGCAACGTCTCAATGAACTAATTTGATGCAAATTACCAGCTCAAAATTAAACACCATTTTTTTCTTATCGGTATGTGTTTTATTATTATGATTGCATTTGATATTAGGATTGATGCAATATGTATTTGATGATGATTATCAAACTATGGTTGGATTGAGAATATATAATGAAGATTCGAGTATTGTGAAGTGGAAATAAAATCATGTTAGGAAAGTTATAATTGAATAAATTTAACTACTCTATGCTAGTATCGTGTATCAAAAAGTTATATAAGATATATAAGATAGACACATATTTCACTCTTTTGCTGGCAAAAAAAAAAAATACTATTATTTATAATGGATAATTTGATAGCTTATTACAACTAAAATCAGAAAAATTTCAAATAGTATATCAGCACACACACAAAATGAATTAATGCGACTTTTTTTTTTCTCAATCAACAACACTCAGGCTTGAAAACTTTTCTCATGTTATAATAAAAAGTAGAACTAGTTGAATTAGTTAATGTGCGTTGATCTAATTTGTAACTAATTTAATAAATTATAGTTGGATCGCAAAATTCATCTTAATGAACGACGTAAATACATAAACGTACGACGTGCCGCCATGCACGTCGTTTGCTAAGATTGACCACAATGCTTTTGTTTCTTTCTGGGGATTTTGTTCTTATACGGTGCCTTTCAACTTTCGACTTTGTTCATTTTTGACCTTATGATTAATTAATTAATTAACTAATTTTAATTATTAATTAATCAATCTATAATCTTATTCTTACCCTGCTCAACGCTTCTAACAGCACCTTCTTTTTACGGCTTGCTTAAATTGATGGTAAAACACATACGAATGTGAAAATAAATTGTTGTTGTTGTTTTAAATATATATTCATCAATTTGCACCCTCAAAGTCATTTCTCTTCTTCGATATATATTTCGACTTCGCTTCTTCTATCTGTTTGATTCGTCATGAGTCTCACCTCATTACCTTTTTAATTTTTTCCATTAATTAATATCATATAATCGTGAGTAATTAAATTAAAGACTAGTAATATCTTTGCAATTAGACAATAGGTTGAACCGTAAGACTTCCTACGTCTTAAATTTTATTTTAATATA